ACACTGCGTAAGCCTGTTGGATCCCTCTCAAAGATTTTGACAAGGTATTTTTCCTCATAGACATTGAGGAACCTGAATGAGACCTTAACAAACTGGGTAGTTCTTAGCATCAATTGTAGGAAATAGTCTTTTCCTATTAAGTATCTACATGTTTCTGTAGCAAAATTATGACCAAATACATTTAGGAGACAACCGGTTTGCTTAGGATGGGGTTGGGTAGGACAATTTTTTCCAAGTCTTATGACTGTCACAGATTTATTTTTTTAATGCTGGGGGTATACTTTTAGGTAATAGGAAACAGATTTTTCTTTATTACAAAAAATAATTAATCGCCATATCTTCATAGACTCGAATTACTTTATATGGATTATTTATTTCCAAAATCTATAGACCAACACCCCCTCTCCTCCATCCCAAACAAACGCACATAGTCCTCAGATTTATCTGTACATAAAAACACTTTAAATCAATCTATTAATCAGTGATGACAACCTTCTCCTGATATATAACTTCGTGATGGTCTTAAAATATTGGAATCCTGATGATCTGAACATGTACATCACCCTAAACATACTTTGATCCGCCCCTGAGATGTCTGGTAGATTACAGTGTTCATAATTTTGCTATAAAAATGATTGTAACATTACGTGAAAGCATATTAAGTGAGTTTATGCTTAAGTTCATAATTTGGTATCCAATCTATTGATGCTAAGTGGGCAGTATGCGTGTTTTATGCAGATGCTGGATGTGTAATAAAAAAGATGACGTCACACCTGCGTTTTAATATCCCACAATGCACCAGAACAGTTACAGAAGAGACAGGAAAGCCATCCATTGACAGAAGTCAACAGTCTTATAGACGATAGAGGGAAGAATATGTCCAGTAATTCTGATCAAGTTGTCACCACTAAAGGACAGAGGTAAGAATGAAAGAAATCAAATTTGGCTGAAATATTGCCAACTTGGCATTAAACAATTATATATTATAAAGTCTCTTTCACTTACAGAAAACATCCTGTTATTAAAGAATTAACATGATTCTTTTCATAATATTTAGGACAACAGAAGTGAAAAATACCCAGGAATCTGTGTCATTGTCTGTCACAAAACTTGATAAACAAGCCGAAAATGAGGGGGTGAGAAGTTCCGCTTCCATTGTGACAACTAAAGAGCCCAGGTAAGGCCTGATGTTCTCAGAGGTATGTTTAAGTAAATATTGTGTCATTCCAGCAGATCTCGTAACAATTTTCTGCTTGTAATATCTAGGACTGCAGATCTGCAAAGGAACCAGGGTGTCCAACCATCAACAAAGCTTACTAAACCAGTGGCTAATGATAACAGTGTAAAGAATTTTACTTCAGACAGCACTACCAAAAACCAAATGTAAGATTACTTTATATACCATTTTGATAAAGCCTATTCAAGAAAAAAAATTCCTATATGTGAATGATGTGCAATGCAAGAAAGGTTTTTAAAAAATGAATTAAATAAATATAATGTACTAGTATATACATTTTAAATGTAGGAATACTGGAATACAAAACAACAGTGAAGTTAAAACATCAGCAGAGCCAAGAAAACCAGTAACAAAAGCGGGCCCAATAAATTTTGCTAAAGCTGTTACAACCAAAATGCAAAAGCAAGCTTATCAATATATGTACTTCACATTTCTTATTCATTTTTTCATTTAAATGATTATGATTCTAGGCACCATAATTATATGTCTTTCTTCACATTTAGCACCAAAGAAGAAGAAGTTGAGAACATCTGGGAATCTGTTCCAAAACCAAAAAGCAGTTTTCCGTCAGGTGATAAACCAAAATTATACGCAGAGGAGGAAGCCCCAGAGAGATCTGTTCTAACCACGAACTACGCCAACCTCATACCTCCACCCAGAGTCCACGTCTCCACTCAGAAGACAGAGAAGGAATCCTGGGACGACGATGGCCAGTATCTGTTCGTGTCCTCCAAACTACCCACTACTGCTAGAGAGTGCTACCGGTGGCAAATTTGTGCCAAACTTGTGATGTCTGCAAACGAAAACAGGAACAATTCTGCCCATCCCAGTGATTTGGAGCAAAGAAATAGACCTGATATGCTTAGGTATGTGCCTGGAAGTGGATCTTTAAAACCTAGTGGCAAGAAAGATGTAAATGGAAATATTAAGGAAGAAAAAGACCAACCAGCTTTGGCAGAAAGTACCCAGTTAGAGAAGGAAGAAAGTACACAGAAGGCTAGGAGCCCTTGGTCCAATAAGGCCATTGATCATCAATCTGGTGATCCAAGACCTAACGCTGAGTGGTCAGAAAGCAAGCAAATCCCACTGAAAGCAGTCAAGTCTACCTCTAGTGACAGAATTCCTGCTCCTCTACAAAACCCAATTCTTGGGAAAGCTTACCTAAGCCAGAATTTGAAAGGGCCAATTTTATCACAAATTAGCGCCAAAGCCATGGCACCCTTACAGAATAATCTTCAGGGTTTCAATCCCCAGGGTAATTCTCAGAAGGTTGAGGAGTCAACAGTTCAGAGAGCTGGAGCAATTACTGCTCCTCTGACAGCTGGAGGTGCCTGCTCTCTTTCTCATGTAAAAGGTAAAGAAGAACAAGGTTCTGCTGTTCCTTCTGCCCTAACAGTTATTAATAAAAATACCAATGATTATTGGAATGTTTCCAATATTACAAGGAAATCTGTGCAAGTCAAGAAAGAAATAGAGGTTAAGAAGTCACCTGACTCATTGTTATCACATGATACACAAGACAAGTCTTCCGTCCAATCAAGAGAGACCACAAAGCCTCTGAAACAGTCAGAAGAGAAGACTGAATCCCTAATAGCTTCATTGCAACGGAAGTCATATCAGATGACCACTTCTAGCAGCGGTTCCTCTGGTGCTCTACATGACTACTGGGCTATTCCGACAAAACAACCAATCAAAACTGAGAAACCTAACAGTCCTCCTGAATTTTTTATATCACCAGAAAAGGTTGTAAGTGAACAGACCAGTGCAGCTGTTGGTGCTGCATCAGACTCCACAGTGCCATCACTTTTGCCATTTGTCCAAAACAAAGAAAAGCAGACGTCGGCAATGTCAGACAAAATTGTGCCGAAACAAGAGAGCTGGGAAGATGTAATATCTGCACCTATTATCAGCAAAGAAGCAAAGAACACCAACCAACCAAAAACTGAAAAGAGCAAAGTGCAAACTGTTCAAGATGGAGCTGAAAGTGATGAAAAAGTATTGCAACCACCTCCAAAGAAAATGTCTAACATGTTTAAAAAGATGGCAAAGTTTGGCATCATTCCAAACCCTATTAAAAAGGAAAAGACCAGTGAAAGTTCTCCCACTTCTCTGCTGACATCTGAAGCAGAAGGGAGTCCTAAACCCTCCAAAACTTTCGCAGAAACAGTCAAGACAGAAGACAAAGATGTGGAGAGCCTGTCACAAGCAAAGAAAACTGAGGTTGAAGAGCTGGAAAGTTTAGGACTCAACTTTGATAAAATGTCTTTGGGAGATAATACTGTAAGTTCTCCAACACAAGAAATGTCACAGTCACTGAAAGACAATAGAGCCGTTTCCTCTGATTCTAGGTCTTCTTCAATAAATAGACAAGACAGTGCAGTCCTAAAAAGTTGGAAATCACAGGACACCAGCTTAGCTCAGACAAGCCACTCCAAAGATAAGGAGGATTGGGGGAGTGAATTGATCATCCTACCCTCAAAGAGTGGTCTTCCAACTCAAACAAATGCTGATGCCGAGAACTTCTTCAAGGAAAAGATGAGGACTGTCAAAAAAGACCGTGTCAAGCATAGATTGCCTGTGTTGAAAAGCCTGACAAAACATGTGGAGGACTCCAAGACTTACCAGACTTCTGCGACGAAACTTCCCGAGAGTCTGGTCACTAAGAAGGGACAGACGCGTACGGTGCAGGCCCTGATCCAGCACGCCCTGAAAGAAAACTAGGAGGGAAAAAAGGTACAAAATTCATTGTGTTTAACTGTACAAAATTCATTGTGTTTAACTGGTAAATGAAGTTGTCTTAAAACAAAAGGTATTGTAATAAACACAAGTAATGTGTCGATATACTGTGGTCTACAAAACAGAAAATTGTCACTTCTGCGACGAAACTTCTACAAAATTCATTGTGTTTAACTGGTAAATGAAGTTAATCTTAATTTATTTTTAGATGAATGGGTAAATTAAATGTAATGTGGTAACTTGTGTGTTTGCAGGCTGATTTGCTTTCCTGTAAATTTTTCATTTAATTCTTTAATTAGTGTTTAAATGAATGCTTAAATTGGTATAAACTTGTGTGTTTGCAGGCTGATTTGCTTTCCTGTAACATGGATAGAAACTGATTTTTCCTCCCAGCAAAGAAGAGTAGAAGATAAAGTGTTTAATGCATGTGATCTGATAATTATGGATTTCCCCATTTCCAAAGGAGAACATTGGCTTTTTATACAATATAAGTGTTTTTACTGCCATGGATTATTTTGTTTAAAAAATATTTACTTTTGCTTTTCATGATTTTTTTTCAACAGATAAATTGTTACTTTTCTGATTAATAATGTTTATTAGATTTTGATAGATTGTCCTTTTTCCAAGGTCCTATACATGTAACTCTATGTAGTGTATTGCAACAGTTTATTGAGCTTCAATTGTTTTAATCTCAATTATGGATTTTTTTTGTTTGTTTGTGCTTTTGATGATATCAAAAGTTCTTGTTCAAATCAGTCTCTTTCTTTCATAAAACGATTTTATTTCAATTATTCAAGTAAAAAGAAATTGCCTCCTAGTCTAAAAGTTGATCTCATGAATTTACGCACTATTTGGTAATACTTTTATAGAATTTGAGTCATTTTAAAACAAATTATTTTTTCTTTGTTTCTGTATTCCATAGTAACATTGAAATTGGATATTATGCAGTATTAAATATGTGCCAGTATTCTATTGTGCCAAGGATGTTTACTCCAGTATATAGCAGCATTGTATTCCTTTAGCTTAAATCTGCATGTAGTGCTTAATATTCATTGTTATTTTTTTTTTTATACTGAATGTGTTGTGATTTAATTTCAATAAAGTTCTAAACTTTGCTGCAACGGTTATTAAGAGATTGGAAAATACATACAATACAGTTTACCTAGCTTGGTGATTTGTTCCACATTTTTTTTTTATATTTTTTCTGCCATTTGCATTAGGTTTTTCAGTGTCCATCTGGATGATTTTCCTCAGTAGTGTTAATGAACCTTGATAAAGCCTTCCTCTTTTTTCCTTAAATAAACTGTAGCAATCTGTTTAGGGGTATTAGCTTAAATGATAGTTATATTATTTCAGTTCAGTGTTTTAAATGTAAGACCATGTCAACTGTTTTAATTTCTGATTGATGCTGTTGATTTTTTTGTTATTCCTCATTCAAAATGTTTCCAACCAATGTGACCAAACCAGTCATGTCCAAATTTACATTGTCAAGTACATGTATTAAATATGAAGGCTTTTGTATTATTTGCGGGTTGTACATTTGTTTATTTTTGTTTTTTAAATAATTTTTTTTTAGGTCAGATGATACAAACTTTTTTTTCTTTGGAGGAGACTTCATTAATATCATGTTACAAGTTTAGAAAAGTGGATAATTCTTCGATTTTTTTTTTCTTCTAAGAACTGGAAGATGAAATAGACTTGGAAAATATTTGTAATATTTCAATAAAATTACAGATATGGACAAAACAGACTCGGTAAAGGTAAAAACAGATAAAAACAAATTTCGGAATATGTTACCTTGGTGCTAAAAGTGTAATACAAATGTATAAACTTTAAAAAAAAAAAATATACCAAGCCAGGTGAATTTAATGAGGAAAAACAAATGACAAAAAATCAGCAGTATCACATAGGCTGAATTATACCATTTTGCTTTTCCTAATGAAATTCATTAAAATGATGTTTCCAACCAATGTGACCAAACCAGTCATGTCCAAATTTACATTGTCAAGTATTAAATATGAAGGCTTTTGTATTATTTGCGGGTTGTACATTTGTTTATTTTTGTTTTTTAAATAAATTTTATCTTTAAAAATATCAGTGTTGTTGTTGTTTTTTTTTTTTTAGGTCAGATGATACAAACTTTTTTTTTCTTTGGAGGAGACTTCATTAATATCATGTTACAAGTTTAGAAAAGTGGATAATTCTTCGATTTTTTTTCTTCTAAGAACTGGAAGATGAAATAGACTTGGAAAATATTTGTAATATTTCAATAAAATTACAGATATGGACAAAACAGACTCGGTAAAGATAAAAACAGATAAAAACAAATTTCGGAATATGTTACTTTGGTGCTAAAAGTGTAATACAAATGTATAAACTTAAAAAAAAAAATTATACCAAGCCAGGTGAATTTAATGAGGAAAAACAAAATGACAAAAAATCAGCAGTATCACATAGGCTGATTTTTACCATTTTGCTTTTCCTAATTAAATTCATTAAAATGCTGTCTCTCTAAAGAATTTTTTTTGTATCATCTGTCCATATTAAAGTCTTTTCTTTTTAATTTCTATGCACGGTGGTTAATTCAACAGAGATTCATAATGACTGGTCATTTTTAGCTCACCTGAGCCGAATCAAGAAGTTTTTTGATCACATTTTGTATTTGTCTGTCTGTCCGTCTGTAAACTTTTCACATTTTTGCTTTTTTTTGAATAAACTTGGTACAAAGCATCCTTGGGTGAAGGGAAAATATCAAATTGTCGCAATGGGAGATAATCAAGAAAAGACAAAAATAGGTTGGGGAATTTTCTTCTCAAGAACCACTAGGCCAGTAAATGTAAACTTACAAACATCCTTTTTAAATTGTTTCATGACCCCCGGGGGAAGGGCGGGGCCACAATGGGGAATCAAAGTTTTATATAGAATTATATAGGAAAAATCTTTGAAAATCTTCTTCTCAAGAACCACTGGGCCAGAATAGCAAAAACTTAAGTGGAAGCATCCTGGTATAGTGTAGATTCTAAATTGTTCAAATCGTGACCCCCAAGGGGAGGGGGGGCACAATGGGGTATCAAAGTTTTACATAGAAATATAAAGGAAAAATCTTTGAAAATCTTCTTCTCAAGAACCACTGGGCCAGAAAAGCTGAAACTTATGTGGAAGCATCCTGGTATAAATAAATTGTTCAAATTGACCCCTGGGGGAAGGGCGGGGCCAAAATGGGGTATCAAAGTTTTACATAGAAATATAAAGGAAAAATCTTTGAAAACAAGAACCACTGGGCCAGAAAAGCTGAAACTATATGTGGAGCATCTGGTAAAGTGGATTCTAAAAACAAATCGTGACCCCTGGGGGAAGGGCGGGGCCAAAAGGGTAAATTTCATAGAAATATAAAGGAAAAATCTTTGAAAATCTTCTTCTCAAGAACCACTGGGCCAGAAAAGCTGAAACTTATGTGGAAGCATCCTGGTATAGTGTAGATTCTAAATTGTTCAAATAATTAAGAACCCCCGAGGGAAGGGCGGGGCCACAATTGGGTATCAAAGTTTTACATAGAAATATATAGGAAAAATCTTTGAAAAAAAAACTGGTCCAGTAAAGCTGAAACTTATGTGGAAGCATCGTGGTATAGTGTAGATTCTAAATTGTTCAAATCGTGACTCCCGGGGGAAGGGCGGGGCCACAATGGGGTATCAAAGTTTTAATAGAAATATATAAAAAATCTTTGAAAAGTACTTCTCAAGAACATGGGCCAGAAAAGCTGAAACTTATTTTACCATTTTGGTTTTGTGTAGATTAAATTGTTAAAATGCTGCCATTTTCTCTAAAGAATTTTTTTTTTGTATCATCTGTCCATATTAAAGTCTTTTCTTTTTAATTTCTATGCACGGTGGTTAATTCAACAGAGATTCATAATGACTGGTCATTTTTATTAGATGGAATTCAGAAAATAGAAAATGGTATATCAAACTGCAATTTTTCTTTTGAATATTCTACTTTTGTGGTATAATGGTCTACTCGGGGAAAAAAAGATGGAGATTTACACTGCGTAAGCCTGTTGGATCCCTCTCAAAGATTTTGACAAGGTATTTTTCCTCATAGACATTGAGGAACCTGATTGAGACCTTAACAAACTGGCTAGTTCTTAGCATCAATTGTCTTTTCCTATTAAGCATCTACATATGTTTCTGTAGCAAAATTATGACCAAATACATTTTGCTTAGGATGGGGTTGGGTAGGACAATTTTTTCCAAGTCTTATGACTGTCACAGATTTATTTTTTATGCTGGGGGTATATTTTTAGATAATAAGAAACAGATTTTTCTTTATTACAAAAAATTATAAATTGCCATATTTAAATAGACTCGAATTACTTTATATGGAATATTTATTTCCAAAATCTATAGACCAACCCCCCCCCCTCCCTCCCAAACAAACACACATAGTCCTCAGATTTATCTGTACATAAAAACACTTTAAATCAATCTATTAATCAGTGATGACAACCTTCTGTTGATATATGACTTCGTGTTGGTCTTAAAATATTGTAATCCTGATGATCTGAACATGTACACCACCCCAAACATACTTTGATCCGCCCCTGAGATGTCTGGTAGATTACAGTGCTCATAATTTTGCTATAAAAATGATTGTAACATTACGTGAAAGCATATTAAGTGAGTTTATGCTTAAGTTTATAATTTGGTATCCAATCTATTGATGCTAAGTGGGCAGTATGCGTGTTTTATGCAGATGCTGGATGTGTAATAAAAAAGATGACGTCACACCTGCGTATTAATATCCCACAATGCATTATCGTCGGCCATGTTCATGACATCCGAAAGAATGAACGACTCGTTGAAAGGAGGGTGTATAAACATTCAGATCAGTGGAATGCAATCTTAAAGAAACTTAATAGGATTGAAGCTGAAAACTAGTTTAACAAATTATTTAAAACCGCTGGTGACAAAACAATCGCCATTGGACGCAGTGATTAATTGACGTTTAGAATCGGAAGTATGCAGGTTATTTTGACAGGCTCCCCCTAAAAGCAGAGTGATAATTTTACTAATTTCAGACAAAATATGTATTCTTACTGTAAGTGAAAGAACCAAAGATCATACCTTGTATATAGAAAACAAGGTATGAGTGCAGTCTGTTCTCAAAAATTTGATTCACGAAGGTTTAAAGACGCTCTTTCGACAATATGATGTCTGCAGAAGAGCGTTTAAAAAAGTTAAGTGATTTGTATGTGGGAGGGGTGCCGAACAGCAATGGACAAGCCCTCAGTGTGGAGACCCTCCTGGACGTTCTCATTGTCCTTTATGATGAGTGCTGCAACACCACACAACGCAGAGAGAAAAACATATCCGAGTTCATAGATTTTGGTAAGGGGAATATCTGAGTATTACACTTATATTCTGTTTTGACATGTGAAAGGTTTGTTTTTTGATATTACGTACTCCATCATATATTTATATGTATTATACAAAGAAAAATACGATTTCGGACACATTGATGCATCATAATGTTTACTTGAGTCATTCTCATAGGTTGCACTTGCATGAACCTGTTTAATGTTATTGTATATGTATATATTTCTTTAAACAAAAATTAAAGGCCCTTTGTTACAGTATAGAAGACCTTAGTCAAGAAGTTGAAATATTTTTATTCACCAGTTGTATGACAAAAACACTTCGATTGAACAGTTATTTTGTTAACATGCAGTATTCTGAATACTAGGTGTAGGCACTGACAACAAATCTGTTGTGTTCAATTAGCGAGCATTTTATACCTATGTAATACCCATAAAATGATAATTGCAAGTAATAATGACTCTGATAAATAACTTCCAGCCATCTTTCCTAGCCAAGGGGTTTCGGTCTGCACAACTCCCCATTGATGGGGAATGGTGTGGACCAAAAACTTTTTGCTTGCAATATGACTTCCAGCTACCTTGAAGATTTTCTTGTCATTTGTTTGGATCAGGTTTTCTGCTGTATTTTGTTACTGTTGCTGTTTTTTTACTGCATGTAATTATTACTTTTAAAAGTTTGATTGCCGATGACAAGGTAACTTACTACCACCTAGCTGACAGAAAAGCAGGGTTCGAATCCTGGTCTGGTCGGTTACATTGTTCTCTCCCATTTCATTTGTTACTGTGCCATGCCCTGGAAGTGACAGATGAAAGACCTGCCTGGGTTGGTGTCTTTGGGGACTGAAGAACTTAAAGGGGGAAAGAATGTGACAGCCATATAGTTGGATATCATATGTTCAGTTGCTGGTGGCGAGTTGGTAAAGCACTTGACTAGAGAATCAAGGGATCCAAGTTCAAATCTTAATCTTGTCCATCACATTTTCTCTTCTCCCATTATACTTTTTTGACTTCTAGACTATGGCAACCTGGTATGCATTCCTGTTCATATTGTTTCTTGACATCTTGTTTTCTAATTATTGTTCATCTGTTCATTTTGACCCCAGAATAGTGACTTTAACAAATTAAAAGGACTTTTGGTTCAGAACTTCTTTTTATAGATGTTTATGAAAAATGAAATTCAGTTGTCTTTACGACAGCAAGAGGCTTCAGAGGAGAACAAAATTCAGATTCTAGAACTACAGTTTAATACATGTAAGGCAAGTTGGATTCTAACCATTTCCACCAAAGAGTCAAGGTCAAAGAATACAAAAATGCATTTTTTAATTTGGGATTTTTTTGTCTTATAAATGTGTCTAGGATGTATCCATATTTCTAATCGACGTCCATTTCTAATATTCTTATGTTTGTTGTAAAAAAATTCAACTGAATCAGTTGCTCATGCCAGATCAAGGTCACATCAAGGTCAGCTTGTAATATTTTTGGTAATAATGGCTTGGTGTTTCCTGAATATATTACCGTACATCTACTTTAATAATATACATACTCAAAATAACAATGCAACATCTTGAGTTACTAAGAATCACTTTATATATAATACATGTTTGTATGTATATTAGATCGTTGTGTGAGTCATTCTTTAATGTGTTACTTCCTGAAATATAATAAGAAATAAACGTTAGACATAGTAAATTTATTATCATAACATAGAGCATGTTAAATAGAAGCATGTATGAAATGCAGATAGTCACATTTCAATTCTAGTAGTACACATGTAATGCTTTCAAGTGTGTGTGGTTTATGATCGGTGCTTCATGAGAGTAATGAGAAATCAGTTTTGATAAGGTAGTTATAAGAGTATCTTGTCTGGTTGGAACATACTGTAGGTGATAAATTAATTACTCTGATGGAAATTATAAGAAATCTGATTGACATCAGTACGAGCATTAACCAGAGAACCTAACTGAGTCGTATCTCACTGTAATGAGGTATACAGGAGTTCTACCTCTGCTGCACATGATAACAGATTAGAAAGAAATCTCTCTCTCTATCTCTTTCCCAGACTGTTGTTTCCTCAAAATATAATGAAGTTATAAATAACATTTATAATCACTTTTATCAATTATTTCAATAATTATCCCGTCTGAGTCTGTATCAACATTAGATTGATCTGAGTTTTAGGTAATTGTATAAATCATAAGGAATTGTATGCAATATGCAATAGTTTGGTTTGAGTCTGAGATTATTGTATCAAATGAATCATTGGGTTGATCTGAGTCTTAGGTAATTCTATTAATAAATCATTTGATTGGTCTGAGATAATTGTATAAAACATATAAGGTTGATCCGAGTCTTAGATAATTGTTTTAATACATCATTTGGTTGGTCTGAATTGTATAAAACATTGGATTGGTCTGGGTCTGAGATAATTGTTTAAAACATAAGGTTAGTCAGAAATGAGATAATTGTATAAATCATAAGGTTGGCTTGAGTCATATAATTGTTTAAAATAATAGATTGGTCCAAGATATTAAATTGTTTAAAACATTATGTTAGTGCGAGTGTGAGACAATTTTGTAAAATATTAGGTTAGTATGAGTCTGAGATAATTGTATGAAAGTCGAGCATTTAGGATAGTCTCATCAGACTCTGAGATTATTGTATTAAACCTAATGTTGATCTGAGACTCTGAGTCTAAGATATTAGTTGTATGAAACATTAGGTTGGTCCGAGTGTGAGACAATTTTATAAAATATTAGGTTAGTATGAGTCTGAGATAATTGTTCAAATTATTATGTTGGTATGAGATAATTGTTTTAGTTGGTCTGAGTGTGAGATAATTGTATGAAACATTAGGATAGTCTGAGATAATTGTCTAAAACATTATATTTATGTCTGAGTATGAAACATAAGATTGGTCAGAGTCTGAGATAACTGTATAAAACATCAGGTTGGTCTGAGTGTTGCTCCAAGATAACTTATTGTTTAAATCATTTGTCTGAGATGAAGTCTTGTTTGAAATAATTAATTTTGTATATAAGGACAGTGACTTGTTTAAATGATCATTCAGAGATGGCTCTCCTAAGTCTGCTGTGTATAAATCATCAGGACAGAGATTCTTAGTGGATTATATGCATTATTATGTCATTTGTTGTCATCACTTTGATTTCTCACTCACACATGCCATTCCTGAGATAGTACAATCTAAATATAGACTCATCTTAAGGTATAAGCAGGATTTCCCCTTTAAAATTCATTGATGGTTGAAATTTGTTCCCACCTGCTAGTTGTCAGTACCATGTCTAAAAACATTTTGTTGATAAATTGCAATATATGCCTACTTTTCTAGGTCACGATGATATAAATAAACCAAGGCTGAATTTTTCTCTCTGAATAAGAGGAACAAGTGTTCTCTGCTCACACAATGAACAAAGCTAAAAAGGAAATGAAAATGTTACATGCAGCATTCTGATATTTCCCCATAGTGTCATCTTCGGAACTTTTAGGAGTAAACTAGTGTCAGATTATGATGTCTGAAACACTATAAATAGATAGTTAATGTTTTCCTTTTCTTTATAACATCTTCCTGGGTGGGTTCAGATTTAGATGTGTATAATAAGGTGACTAATCTTCAGGAAATGAGGCTAGTTCTCAGGTAGACTGTCACCCTGGCCCAGTTCCTGTTCTCAAGAGTTGTGTTAGAATGTTACGATTCCAGTAAATGTCTTAACAAGGTGTATCACTGGCTTATGCTGCACATGTACAGCATTACATAAGTAGAAAAGCTTCTGTTTGAGCTGAGTGTAATTATATAGTGGTGTGAATGCAGGAAGAGGGTAATGACATGTAGGGCTAGCTCTGAGTGTGTGCGGTTTCCACTTCCTGAGCAGCGGTTACACAGAATCTTTTGTAGACAGATGCAGGACTCAAAGAAATTCTCTCCCAGTCACTCTGAGTCATCATTGACAGTTATTATACAAGGGGGACGTCTCAAAAGGCAAAAGAGACTTCACAGATTGTCGACATCAATAAATTATCATGTTAGGGACCTTTAACTTAGTTATGTCAACAATGTGAATTGGAGATAGCACTTCCCTGCTTATCTTGGAACACATTGTGTATCCCCATTCACTAGAGATACAACCATTTATGTAATAAATGTATACCTATTTATACCTATATCTGACCGTGTGAGGCACAGCCTAATGGTTATGGAGAGTGAAAACTGGAATGTGGTCAGCACTCCCCCTCAACTCTCGCATTGACCTGTGATGACCCCTCTAAAAATAACTTTGTTCATCATAACAAAATAAAGCTCTCTCTCCCTCTACATCATGTGGCCAGTAGCACAGTTTGTTATAACTTAGAGTTGATAATAAATCACAGAAAGTAAACAGAATACACAGACTTTGAGTTTCAGAGATAGTGTTATAGCTGTAAATATTTTCCCTTGCAGCCAGACAGATTGTTTCCAAGGTTAAGCAGTATCGATTACACCGAGATGATTTTGAGGTCATTAGAATCATTGGAAAAGGGGCATTTGGGGAGGTAAGTAGGGTATCATAACCAGGCACAATTGTGAAGAAAATGTCTTCAGCATCTGGCTCATTCAATTCAGGCCTATTTCATTTGTCTTCAAGGCTGATGTTAAGTAGCAATTTTCAAAATAAATAAATGTTCACTCACTTGTTTTCATTTCACATAAAACAGAATTTTTTTTAAAAATAATTAAAATTTTAAAAAATTTGAATTATATTTCTAAATGCAGATTGTAATTTTGTGTGTCATTTGTTTCCCCTCCCATTTCAAGTTTCTGACATAGTTGCTAAAAAATACTTCAAGTTGGCAAAAATACACTAGTAAAGTGTAATTTTATATGATATCATTTAAAATCAATGTTTCATTTGCAGGTTGCTGTTGTTAAGTTAAAATCCACTGATAAAGTTTATGCCATGAAGATTTTAAATAAATGGGAGATGCTGAAACGAGCGGAGGTAAGGATACTACGTGAATTTTTTTCTCAGGAGTACATGTAATATTTTCAACGTATTTGCTGTAATTTATTCATGTCATTTAATCTTTAAGGTGCAAAATATTTTGTATTTATAAACAGCCCACAACCAGTGTGAAATTGTTATTCATGTCTCACGTTTTTTAGACGGCTTGTTTCAAAGAAGAGCGAGATGTCTTGGTATATGGTGACAGAAGATGGATTACAAATCTACACTATGCCTTCCAAGATGACAACTACTTGGTAAGTATCGACTTGAAGTGTATCTAAAAAGATAAAATTCCTTATTTAATGATGTGAATATGCATGAACATATGAAATTGAAAACACTCTGATTACTCATCAATGAAAACTCTGTAAGAAAAAAAAAATGACTTCATAGAGGTATTCAGTCAGAAGTAGTTGATATATTAAATCTGTAATTCAATAGTTTAATATCATGAACATGTCATTTCAAAACTTAATAATACTGCATTTCAGTATTTTTCTTTACATGAATAGTGTATACAGGGTTATTTTCTCCCAGTGTCATTTTCGCCCTTTCGCACTTGCCAACAATTTTGCTCTGTTTTAAATTCGCCCAGTGTCAGTTCTGTTTAAGAAAATGTTCTTTGTAAATTGAATTTGCCCTGTTTTAAACTGGCCAACATGTAATTAGGCAAACGGAAATTAAATGGGGGTAAAATTTTCCTTGTATACAGTAGTCATTCTATGTCTTACTCTTTCAGTACCTTGTGATGGACTACTACTCTGGGGGATAATGTTTGTCCTGTGTTATTGATATGTCTGTCTATTACAGTACCTGGTGATGGACTACTACTGATATTTTCTCTGTGTATTTTATGTAATGACTTATCTGTCTATTTCAGTACCTGGTGATGGACTACTACTGTGGGGGAGACCTACTGACCCTCCTTAGTAAGTATGAGGACCGGCTACCTGAGGACATGGCCCGGTTCTACATTGCCGAGATGGTGCTGGCCATCCACTCTCTCCACACGATGAACTACGTCCACCGGGACATCAAGCCAGACAACGTACTGCTGGATCTGACAGGACATATTGTACTGGCCGACTTCGGCTCCTGTCTCAAAATGCTGGATGATGGGACGGTAAGATTTATTACATTGTTTACATTATAATATTGGGACAGTTAGTTTTACTACATTGTTTACCTTGGCAACGGTCACTGTGTAACATTAAACTTTTCCGATAAATACATTTTCAATATGATATGCTTTGTGTAATCAGTATAAAAATTGGAAATTTTCGATAGGAAGTATTCCTGACTTTTAAGTAAATTCTGAATAAAATGGTTTGGGATAATAATTTTAAATAGTCATGCATTAGAGAGTTGCAAAACTAATTAAATTGTTTATTTAACAGGTCCAGTCCTCTGTTGCTGTGGGTACCCCTGATTACATCTCCCCAGAAATTCTTCGGGTAACTATAGAAAGATAATTTATTTTCTGTCTCATTACTCTGAATAACATTGTTTTCTATTCACCCACTGAACTATTGTCATGTTAATGTACCTCTCTCTTGTCCCCAGGCTATGGAGGATGGACACGGCCGTTACGGTCCTGAGTGTGATTGGTGGTCGTTAGGAGTCTGTATGTACGAGATGTTGTACGGATTTACACCCTTCTATGCCGAGTCACTCGTAGAAACCTACGGCAAAATCATGAACCATCAGGTAAGTCAGATTCTTTGATTAATGCATGTACCAGTAACATTCTCTTAAACATCTAAAAATATCAGGGCCCTGTTTTACTAAAGAACTTACAAATTAGACTAAAACTGTTTGCACAATAACATTTTAGTCTTATGTTTACATATAAAATCCTTTGCAAAATGGGGCCCAGAAAATGAAGTTGCACTCATATATTTTAAAGTACAAATGTTCAATACTGTGACATAGGACTACAGTCAGTGTTGTGTGAAAATGTTATAGAATTGAAGTATCCCATTTAACATTTATTCATATTTCTGTTTCTTTTTTTATAGTCCAAGTTTGAGTTCCCAACCGATGAAGATATAGAAGACATATCAGACGAAGCTAAAGACCTACTCCAGCAACTTATATGTGGAGCAGATAGGAGGTTTGGGAAAAATGGTCTGGAAGACTTCATCAGTCACCCGTGGTTCAAAGGCATCAAGTGGGAGGAAATCCGAGACAGTGAGTACAGTGTTTAGTCCTCATTAAAAGATAGTGACAACTCTGTTCGGAACACTTGCTGAATAATGTAGATTGGCAAATAATCAAGTGGTTTTAATTTCATTATATTTGTGATTTATCATTTTTCGGAAAATTAATAAATCATAAGTTTTAAAAGTGTATATGAAAGCTTATAAGAATTTCAAATTAATTTCTTATAGTGTGAAATTTAAACCATCACAATTGTTAGTTTTTTTAGAGATAGTGAAATTTTTATTGTGGAATTGAAATGACTTTCAGTATTCTGTGTTACTTTCTACAGTGAATGCTCCGTACATACCTGAAGTAAGCAGTCCCACAGACACCTCCAACTTTGATGTAGACGAAAGTGACTTCAGGCACACTGTAAGTTTTGGCACTCAAGTGTTCAGGTATACAAGTGAATACTTTTGATAGCTGTATACATTAACAATAGATTTTGAGGGATGATGGTTTTATGATATTTTTTGTAGGATACTGTGCCACCCACTTCTAATGCTGCATTCAAAGGACATCACCTTCCCTTTATTGGCTTTACTTTCACCAAAGACAGGTCAGTTATATAGCTACAGAGTGATTCAAAAGTAAAAAATAATTTTTTTTACAAAAGCATATTTGATTATTGAAATTTAAAACCAAGGATGTCATCTCATACTTACTAATCTTTGACAAGGTGAAGGCTACATAAAAGGCAATATTAAAATCTTAAACGTAGAGTTTTTGTATGCAAAATGCATGGTCAGGTGTTTTGATGTGTATATTAATGGCTTTAAGAAAGTCTAATGTATTTTGCAGTCAAATTTCTGACACTGGAAATCTTCAGGATACCTCAGGGATTGCCACAGAAAACCTTGAATCTCTTGCTGCAGCTGCTTTTGAGAGGAGGATAGCTAATTTAGAGAGGGAAAACAAGGAGTTACAAAGGAAACTAGCAGGTAAGAAATAAATCAATCAAATGGTTCAGTAAAGATGTTCCAAATTTAAATGTAGATTGTAAATAAAAAGATGTGATAAAATTTATGATGTTCTTTCTATCAGAGGAAACAAATTTAGATATGAATAAGTTAATTATTGTACTTTATTATATCAGATAAATGCCTTATTTCCAATTTTTGTAATCAATTCCACACAAGTTATTTTGCATGTTTATAAATTATCGAATGCATTTTCCCTCTTTGTAGAAGCAAATGCCACGATACAAAGAGGCAGTAGTTCAGGGGAGATCAATCCAGCAGCTGGAGCTTCCTCAGCATCTGCTGAATCCGAGGTCCGTCAGCTGAAAGAGGAAATAGCCGTGTTACACAGAGTCGTAGCAGGTACGCAAATAAAACAGCCCTGTTACATAGATTTTTAGCAGGTATGCAAAGGACTAGCTATTTTATAGATTCATACTGTTGACATGGAAATTTATCCATAGGGATAGGCTTCATATACAATAAGAAAGAAAACCCAATAGACAGTACATTTATTTTGAGAAGTTATTGGACAAGGCTCTTAGTGTGCTGAATTGTAGTTACGTTCTTTAGGCCTCTTAACAATATTAAAAAGTCAAAACATTTCAGATGACTGAACAATTTAAACTGTATATTTCCAGAATCTCAGACCGAAATCAGTGAAGTGGAACAAGACTTTAAAAGAGCACAGGACCTCAAAATCGACCTGGAACGTAAAATGAGGATCATTGACGAGGAGAAAATGGCTCTGGAAAAGGTGAGTGATGTAAAGTATCACACAAGCTGTGGTATGGTATCATTTACATGTAGTTTGGGATGGATAGTCATAACATTGTATATTGTATTCCCCCTCTTCCATTTCAGGATTTGCAGGATTTGAGGGACAAGTACAAGTTACAAGCAAGAGAACTCAAAGATGCCGTAGCCAAACAAAAGATTGCCATTGAACAATTTACGGACACAAATGAGTCGTATGTATTCATTTGTTTCCTTTCTGTTGATAAGGCAAGTAGAAGCATTGAAAGCACAATAAGAAATGATACCACTGATTTCTGGCTTTCTTGTAGATTATTGAAATCTCAGTCCAAAGTAAAAGAATTAACAAGGGATGCTAGGAACAAAGATGAAGAAATCGATGAATATAGACGGAAGTTAGAAAGTGTCAAAAACGAAAGGAGGAGGGCAGAGAAAAATGTCCAGGAGGTAAAAGTTACTTTCCTTTGAAAATGATTTAAATAGTTTGATAGAGTCAATCCGGGTAATTTCGACCGACGGGGCAAATCCGAACACCTAAGAATTTATTAAATTTTTAAAAATATTTTTATCTTGTTTTATATTTATTTGTACCTTTATATTTTTTAAAAATTCAGTCATTATTTGTGTCCAATATAATAATATTAATAAAATTACCACATGTAAAAACACATGAAAACTTGTGTGACGTCACCAAAACATCAAAGTGAAAGCGAAACATCAAAGCAGACTGACTATTTGGTACTTCGGTACAATTAGATTTTCTGGTAAGTATAATTTTTTTCTCCAGTAAAAATTAAAGTATATTTGCATAAAACATGACAAAGATGCTGAAAAAACTTAAATCTAAATTAAGAATTATATTTAAAACCGAATAAATAATGAAAATTACCTGATCGACTTTACCCCACACTCCACAATGGATACATAAAGGGGCTTTTCCCAAACAAGTCGTTCCTTAAATTTACAAAAGGACAACTCGTACACTTAATATTCGACCACAAACGCTACAGAATATATTCTAATTTTTATTCTTTTAAGTACAGAGTTAAATATTTGTCTTTTAATTGCAGACATGCCACGGAAATATGTTAAAAAGGGGGTGTACCAAAATTACAGTCCCGAGGACATGGATAAAGCTTTTGATGCAGTAAAAGGGGGGTTAAGTCTTGGAAAAGCAAGTAAAATGTTCAAAATTCCCAAAACAACTCTGAGTGACAGATTAGCTAAAAGAGTGGTTCCTGGGGCTCCAATAGGTCGCCCCCCGGCGCTACCAGCCAAACTCGAAGAGGAGTTGGTAAAAAAAAGTTGAAAATGCGGCTTCCATGGGATTTGGGGTCAGCAGGCAACAGCTACTGGTCAAAATTGGGGTCTAGTAAACAAGCTCAAAATCAATACACCGTTTAAAGGAGGTATACCAGGCAAAGACTGGTTTGATGGTTTGCGAAAAAGACACCCGTCACTTAGCATAAAAAGGCCCTTGAAACTATCAGTGGTGCGCTCACGGATGTTGAATCCGTCTGTAGTTCAATCTTATTTTGACACCCTGTCAAAGATTGTATCTGATCTGAATATACAGAGCAAGCCTGAAGCCATCTGGAATGCTGACGAAACTGGCTTCCAGATGGAGCACCAGCCATCATCCGTGTGTGCTAGGAAGGGGACCAAAGTACCCGGAAGGACATCAAACAGTCGCGAATCTATTTCTACCCTACTTTGTGTGAATGCTAGCGGCAGTTCTATGCCTCCAATGGTTGTTGTACGAGGGAAAACAAAAAGGTGCCTTCAGTCCTGGGGGGTTGAGGATGCACCTCCAGGAACAGTATTCACCTACCAGGCAAGGGCTTGGATGGATGACATTCTGGGCGAGGAATGGTTTCACCAGGTTTTTTTGCCCAACTGCGGTCCTCACCGTCCCCAGCTTCTTATTCTCGACAGCCATTCCAGCCACGAAGTTATTGGGCTGCTGGAAGCGGCTGTCGAGAATGACATCCATATCCTTGCATTGCCCCCACACACGACACACTTTCTACAACCCCTGGATAAAAGTATAAACAGGCCGTTGAAAGCAGCATATATATATAAGCGTGTCTGTTCGGAGCATATGAATAGTAGCCCAGACAACATTGTCAATAAGAAGTCCTGGCCAGGTCTTTTCAGACAAAGTTTCGATAGAGCCCTTACACAGCAGAACATTGCAAGTGGCTTTCGTGCTACAGGAATCTATCCCTTAGATAGATCTGTAATACCCGCTGACGCCTTAGCGCCTTCTAAAGTTTTTGAGTCCGCCACATCTACTCACCAGGGTGCTTCCGTCTCTAAATCTATTTCATCGACAGTGACTTCTGAACCAGAGTCCATATCATCTTTGACGACCTCTACTGACGACTCGACTCCCTCCACATCCTTCCAGATTCCTTCTATCTATGACCCTTCTGTGTCGGCAACAAGTCATTTCTTTCTCCGCCGAGTCAGATGTAGCGCCCAGCCCAATTCCATCTGCGTTGACCACTTCATCTGTTGTATCTAACTTTCAGCAACCTGATAACATCATCTCTCTTGAAACCAATCAACCAGTCGATAAGCGTACTTCTAGCTTTGTTAGTGAACTTGCAGTTGCACCGTCTTCTTCCAGAGATCCAGATCCTTTTTTACCAATTACACCAGTGGCCGATTCAGATGATCAAGTTTTTAATCTCTCTGAAACTGTTTCCGCCTCACAAATTCTGTCTGATCTTGCAAGTGGTGGTGTAAATGTTGAACTCATTACTCCAGAATGTGATGTCAACAATGAATTTTCAGATTTGTGGAATAACCAATTATCTACCCTCTTTGATGTCCCGTCCCCTGAGCAGAAAACACGACCAGAGTCGCAAAGTAAGAGAAAACTTACTTCCCATAGACTCCTCACATCAGATGAAATTTTACAAGAAAAGAAAAGGAAAGCAGAAGAAAAGAAAGAACAAGAACTCAAGAAAGAGATGAGAAAACTAAAAAAGGAAAAAGTACCAAAGAAAAGTGTGAAAAAATAGACTTGATTTAACACTGTATTTGAAAATGTTGTTAGTTATTTTGTTCATAGTTTATTGAAAGCTAATATATATATAACAATTACGAATTATATATATAATTATGTTACTGTTACATAAATAAAATCTTTATATATATTTCCCGACAAATAAAAAAAATTCAAGAACAGCATTTACATCGATCTATTTCTCTGAAAAAATTATAATTTTCCTCCTTCAATTAATTTTTTCCTTCGCGTTCGAAATTTCCCAACATGGACGAAATTACCCCATTTCTCCGTTCGATATTACCCCGTTGTCAATCGAATTTACCCCTTCCGTACCTACAACAGAAAAGACATAGATTTCATATCTGATGACGAAATAAAGCGTCAAAATAACATGGAATAAGGAAGTTCTCAAAACGTTTTATATAATGGGATATTAATAAGCCTCGAGCGTTTTCTGGTTGCAATTATATTTACGATCAAGACCAAAGGTGTACGAAATTACCCGGATTGACTCTAAAGGCAAAGATCTTCTATGCTGTTGTAGAAATGAAGTACATGTAGAGGGAATCAACTACACTTTCTTATGTTTGTGCATTGTAATAATTACCATTCTTGGAATTTATATTCAGAATGTCATTTTAAGATCAGACACTATTTGAACCATTAATGATACAACTTACTCTTATGATAAATTACATGAAGCTCATTTTTATTACTTCTTTATGAGTAGAGTGTCCACAAATGATACAAGATTATTTTCACTAATAATATAGAGATGCACACTATCCTTTGTGGACTTTTATTGCAGTAAATGGTTAATACATAGTATACTTTCATACTTATCCTCTCTGTAACCTGGACATGTGAGGCCATAAATACAAGGTATATCTACTACTTAACGTCATTTCCTTTGCTTTCTGCAGCTTCATGGCCAGGTGGACGAGTATCGAGCCGATTCCAACAAGGAGAGGAAACTCAGAGAGCGAGCTGAGCAGTACTCAAGGGAACTGGAGCAGGAAATAGAGGCCGCCAAACGGAAAAATATCAGTCGGGGGCCCAGCGCAAGTCAAGTGTTAGAAATGTCTCAGGAAATCTCAAGGTACATGTGCACCCAATATCCCACATCATTCATTAGTTGTAATTGTTTGGTTTTCAATGGAATGTCTTCATGCTTTGGTTTGAAGATCAACAGATTGTATGATGCATTGTACTGCATCATTGGTTATTTTCTTTTATTTTTTCACAGGCTAAAAACAGAACTTGACAGAAAAAGTGTAGAAGTAGAAGAAACTATCACAAAACTGAACTCTAAACACCATGCAGAAATAAAGGACAAACAGTTCCAAGTGTCAGAAGTGGAGAATAGAAACAAAGACTTGAACCGTGAAAACAGTGCATTAAAAGAAAAGTTAAATAACCAAGTATCAATAGAGGACTTAATTAACCAAATACAGAGACTTAAATTACAGTACGATAATACAGAACGGGAAAGGTCACAGATCAATGATGAAAATGAAAGACTGAAAGAAGAAATCGCCTTCGTAAGTTTCTTTGATATTTGTGTCAGTATTGTTAAAATAGCTCGTTACTGCATATTTTGATGAGTGGGGAAAGAGGGTGCAAAATAATTAGAAAAAGGATGAAGAAAATTGAATATAATGCATATTTTAAAAGATGAGGATAGTTAATGAAATTATGATTTATTTTTACACAGCAACAATCCACGATGAATGACGTGGTGAAAGAGAAGAATCAGCTGGAACAGGAGATGAGGGAGATTTATGACAAACGGGAATCAGTGGCTCAATGGGAGGCTCAAATCTCAGAGATCATCAAATGGTAAGATTTATCTCACACAGCTGTGTAAAGCTCAGTAGGGCTCATTGGGAGGCTCATATCTCAGAGATCATCAAATGGTAAGATTTATCTCACACAGCTGTGTATAGCTCAGTAGGGCTCAATGGGAGGCTCAAATCTCAGAGATCATCAAATGGTAAGATTTATCTCACACAGCTGTGTATAGCTCAGTAGGGCTCATTGGGAGGCTCAAATCTCAGAGATCATCAAATGGTAAGACTTATCTCACACAGGGGTAAATAGCTCAAATGGGTTGGGGATCTTTGTAGTCATTAATTTAAAAAGGATTTTTTTATCACAACTTCACAAGACTTCAGTGCTTGTAAAACATTTTTTTAGTGAATTTAAGTTAATTTCTTACAAAGGCCAAAGGAATGCTGTTTTTTTTTTAGACGAATTGATGTTTTCAAGTGAAACATTAAAAAAGGAAAATATAGCCAGTTTTGAATGATGGAATAAATTCATCTGTAGAATTTAAATACTGCATCCCAAAAAAATTCCATGTAATCATAAAGTTTGTCATTATCCATTTGATGTCAACAGGGTCAGTGATGAGAAGGATGCTCGTGGCTACCTCCAAGCCCTGGCCAGTAAGATGACAGAGGAATTAGAAAACCTCAAAGTGATGGGCGTGTCTGACGATGGGGTTAGTACACAATAACTAAAAATCATCAAGTTTAGGTTTATGGCATTAATAAAAGGAATTAATTATACGTAAAAATAAATTTGAAAAATCCTTTAAGTCATGGGTGTGTCAGAAAATGGGGACAGTAATCTATGTTAAAAAAAAAATTGCCAAGTTTTTTGGCATCAATGAAATAGAAATTCATTTTTTAAGTTTATAAAAAACTTGTTCCAGGGACGTCAGCGTTGGAGGAACCGGCGGTCCCAGAGACTGGATAAGATGGAACTGCTGACCCTCCAATCTAATCTGAACAGTGAAATCCAGGCCAAGACCCAGATCAGCGAGGAACTGACCCGGGTCAAATCTCAGAGCGTCAGCCTTGAGAAGTAAGGACTTATTGAAGTTTATGCCAATTTCCTCCTCGTAAAGATGTCTTTAGAGGAAGACTCACTTTGAATAGAAATAATGACTTCTGAGTGTAGACATGCATGTATATACTAAGCTACATTATTTTGTTTTCCTTTTCAGTAAAATTGAGGAACAGAGCCAGTTGATTGAGAAGTTGAATAAGGACCTTGATGAACTTCGAGCTGAGAATCGACAATTACAGAACCAGAAACTCAGTGACTGTAAGGCATCAAAACACGTAGTTTTAAATAGAGAGAGGGTATTGTTTTTCATGTGTACATATATCAAGACTTTTTACATAGTGTGTATTAGGGCTGGGACGAAACAACTTTTTCTATATCGATAGGTATCACGATATTTGAGCCACGATACGATATTTATCACGTTATGTTTAATTGCTTATAAAATCTTTTTTTGCATTGAAATAAACAATTTATTTCTTTGCAAATGAGAATAATTTATTCAAAAATAGATGTTTATATGTGTAAAACAAAAGTTTTAAAATAAAAGTTGTGTTAATTATTATTTATTTCATATCTATATTTATATTCAACTTATTTATTTTATATATTACACCCCAATTGTTAAATAAACAAAGATAAACAGAAGTCAGATTTTTTTGGGCGATATTTCGATATTTTTTCAAATGTATCGATATGTGTATCGTCTTCACATATATCACGATATATCGATATCGCCATATATCGTCCCAGCCCTAGTGTGTATTGTGTGAAATGTACACACAGGTCAAAACTTTATGAACTCTTATTGGCTTCATGTCTAGAATCTGTAAAAAAAATAATAAATGTGCATCTCATAAATACAGTCAAACTTGTCTTAGCGGCCACCCGAAATCAACGGCCACTTGCGGTCAGCGGCCACTCTCAGTTCCCCCCGATGATTTTTACTATATATTTTAACTTGAATAAACGGCCACCTGTGCAACGCGGCCAGCGGCCACCCAAATCCTTCCCCACAGCTGTATTAACACTGTAATAGGCGGCCATTTCGTCATGTCTTTTATACACATTCGCTTGGGTAATTGTGTGCCCAATAGTAAATTTTACCTATTAAAGCAATTAAACAAATTAGTTTTATATACGCTTAACTCTGTGTTAAAAATATATTTGTCCTGTTAGATCAATTTGTAATTATTTTCCAAGATCGCTGATTGAAAATCTATAAGAATTTAATCACAATTAATAGTTTTTCCATACCTAAAGAAATACAGGGCTATCACTATTTTCACACCATTTTAGATTTTGATTCCATGTAGAAGCCCTAATTGCTACTCTTGTGAAAACAAAATGCTTTGTATGGCATGATTATCTCGTGGATTTCAATATCAGGAGACGATCGATAGGGATTAGTTACGCTCTACTGCACTTGACACCTGTGTAGTAGAATGATTTTCAGCTGCGTAAATACACCTCTCTGGTCAACTAAATAATCTTATTTGTGTATCTGTGTATGTTATATAGAAATTCTTAATTCTGACAGCTTTATAAAAAATAATATTAATAATTTACCAGACTTTAAAAACTTAAGCAAGTAAGTTGATTGCCGATTAATTAAGCTGAAAGGGGGGGCGGGGGGGGGGGGGGGGTCATTGCAGATCATTACCTGAACATAGGATAGTGAAATTTATAAGTGGATTTTATTGACACTTACTGAAATAAAATTTGATGCTTTATTTTATTCACCATTGAAATATCTTTTAATTAAAGCTTGTGTATTTGTTCTTATTAAAAAGATAGTAGTAAGGCACATGTATTTCTTCAAATAATAACTCGATTATAAAATATTTGAATATAACAAAAGCACACTTATGAGTGTATGAAGTTTAACTTTTGTGTAGGAACAGAAACATGCACAAAACCTTAAAGATTTTGAATTCTAAATAAGCATGAATAAATATATATTCACATTAAAAGCTTTTATGAAATCGACCTGTTTAATTATCTGATTAATTAATTTAACTGTAGTTGTTAATGTTGTTTATTTATTGATCAACTGGCTACTCCGAGGGCAAACTGGAATAAGAGGCCACCTGTCCTAAGTGCTTCCCAAAGGTGGCCTCTAAAAACAGGTTTGACTGTACATGAAAATAAATGCTGTTGAATATCACCCACATGTTGTTATAAAAATTCTAAGCTCATGTGCTTGTGAGTACAAATCAATAGACATGATTGTTTGTTTTACAGGGGAGAAGTCCAATCACCAGGATACTAGTCTTATGACATTTATAAAGGGCCAGTTCTCAATACTTAATGACGTAAGTATGAAAAATATTTATTGTTGAAATGAAGAAATAATGAATTTCATTTAATTTTTAAAGGGCCAATTCTCAGTACTTAATAAAAAATATTCATCATGACATTTATAAAGGGCCAATTCTCAATACTTAATGATATGAGCAGGAAAAACATTCATAGTGATCAAGTTTAAGGAATATTACATTTGATTGTTAACCTGAACCTTGTAATCCCTGTTTTGACATCATTATACAGTCTGATGTGGATGAGAGTGTACATGATGAGGACAGTATCAGTGAGGACGCCCTGTCCCGGGGGGCCGACTCGCGGACCAACTCTCGCCAAGATCTGAGTCACCACGAGGAACCCCACCACCCTCCCCCCAGCACCTCTAGTCCTGCCAGCACCATCCACACCAGTCACCCCGCCACTGGCACCACCGAGCAGGTGTACGACCAGCCCTGGGGGGCCTCCAAGATCGGTATCCCCATCAGTCCCTCCCAGAGTCTGCCCGCCCAGCCCAAAACTCATCAGTTCCTCATGAAGACATTCTCATTACCATATAAATGTAATCACTGTACATCACTCATGGTGGGCATTCAGAGGCAGGGAGCAACGTGTAGTGGTGAGAATTACTTTGCCTGATCCACACAGAAAAAGTTCCTTTATTATCTTACAAAGTTAATATGTCTATTTAGTGGTAAAATATATTTTGAGAGTTGAAATAATTCCTTTTATTTTATCTTACGTAAGTTCCCATGTGAATTTAGTGGTAAAATATATTGTGGGAGTTGAAATGAATCCTTTGAAAGAGGAAAACATTGACATTTACTTGTATATTACAGAATGTGGGTACTCGTGTCACATCCACTGTATGGAGAAGGCCCCCATGGTGTGTCCGGTCCCTCCGGATCAAAGTAAGTGTGTAGACCGCTCTGTTACTTTGTAACAGTGAGACATTCAAACCTCACCACATTTATGGTATATATATATTTGTCAGTGGCATTTGGACCAGGATTTGTACTTAGTTGTGTATTCTTTCATGTTTCAGCTAAGCGACCAATGGGTATAGATGTTTATAAAGGAATAGGCACAGCCTATGAAGGTTATGTTAAGGTAAAGTTTCTTTAACTGACTTCATGCCAGCATTAAAGTCATTAAGAACATTGCTTGATTTGCACACGAGTTGTGATACTGGAAACATTCCTCATGACATGAAATTTTTTCTTTACAGGTTCCTCGATTAGGGGGAATCAAGAAAGGCTGGACGAGGCAGTTTGTTGTAGTCTGTGATTTTAAATTATTTTTGTATGATATTAATCCTGATCGTAACCAGCCCAGTCATATAGTTCAACAAGTGCTAGATATGAGGTGAGCCTTTATACCGGTAGTTTTGTGTGAAGGACTGATTAGCATATGTATTATGATATAGCTACTGTTACATACTGTTACTTAATGTTTCTCCCTTGTGTTGACAGAGATGAAGAGTTTACAGTAAGCCCAGTGCTGCCGTCAGACGTCATTCACGCCAACAAGAAGGATATTCCCTGTATATTTAGGGTAAATAAATTTACTATAACTTAAAAAAAATTTAGAAGTCTAATGTAGTCATGTTCAAAAATCAGACTTATTCGGTAGCATTTTTGGTTACACCTGAATGTTGGATTATATATCATTCAGGTTTTTCAGTGTAAATGATTTATACATGTATGACTTGGAAAATTATCAGTGGGAAGGGTACATTGTAGAATTTGTGTACATGTGCATTGCATATGTCCTTAAATGGTATATACATGTACATAGGTTTTTCTATGTTATCTAGGTGACAACCAGTGAACTTAATCCACCAGGCTCCAAACACCAGGTGTTAATGCTGGCTGAGAGTGAACAAGAAAGACATCGCTGGGTGGGCGCTCTCAACGAGCTCCACAAACTTCTACGCAAAAATAAGCTTCCAAACAAAGCAGTGAGTATTTCACTTCTACGCAGAAATAAGCTTCCAAATAAGGCAGTGAGTATTTCTCTTCTATGCAAAAATAAGCTTCCAAATAAAGCAGTGAGTATTTCTCTTCTACGCAAAAATAAGCTTCCAAATAAAGCAGTGAGTATTTCACTTCTACGCAGAAATAAGCTTCCAAATAAGGCAGTGAGTATTTCACTTCTAAACAAAAATAAGCTTCCAAATAAAGCTGTTAGTTTTTTACAATTTCTATGCAAAACAAGCTAAAAGTTTTTCCTTTGTGTCAATGAAGCCTGATGATAAATGCAAAATTGATCAAACAGAAGGTGTAAAAATTATGTATCAACATTTATAATGGTTAAAAATTTCTTTTTTCAGGCCTATCTTGCACAAGAAGTTTATGACAATGGTTTATCTCTAGTCAAAGGAACATCATCAGCTCAAGTGCTAGGTAAGTTTTGCATTCTTTTTTAGAAAGATGGAATTATTTTGAATCTTAATACTGTTCTTGTAGGTAGCGATTAGAAATCTATGTTTGGTTCGCAAATTGAATCAGTAATTTGATTTACAGATTCAAATCGTGTGGTTCTGGGGACAGAGGATGGACTCTTTGTTGCCCAGTTAGCTAAAGATGGTAAGTAATATAAAACAAAGGGGGGGGGGGGGAGACTGTGATTCTGTCTAGATTTTGATGGTTATTTGCAGTTGTGCAGACTCAAATGAAGACATGACTGTATTTCTGTTTACAGTGTTGCTAAGAGTTGGAGACAAGAAACCCGTCTTTCAAGTTGAACTGGTTCCCAGTGAACAGCTTGTGGTCTTCATCAGTGGTCAGTATAAATACATGTAGATACTTAATAAGTTTAAAAAGAAAGAATGTACAGTACTTTACATTACAGCACTGTGGAATCATTTGTAGAATAAATGTTCAATGAATCTAAATCTTCTGATTCAGAGAGGTAGTTTCATTGGTACCTTGTTTATATACAAGGTACACAAATTTCAGTAAAGCCAATATTTTGACAGAATTATAGTTCATGAGGAGGACATTCATGGGAAAGGGTGGCCTACAAAATCAACAAACATTGGTCCTCCATAGATAATGATGATTCCAAAAAAGTTGATGAGCTTATAAAATTTATCCAAAATTTGAGACTGTCTCATAAATGAAGGGCCTATAATTTGCCAAACATATAATGAATGTATGTAGAAATCAATGGTAGATTGTACATGGATTTTTTTTAAGTTGACTCATTAAATCTTGTTACAATTTGTGCTAAAACTTATTTTCATGTGTAACAGAATTGTTTTTCCTCCTTTATACCAGGTAAACAGAAGCACATAAAGCTGCTCCATCAGTCGGGGTTGGAGGGCCATGACACAGACCCGGTTAAGATCCAGGAGACGCGGGGGTGTCAAATGTTCTGTGTGGGGTCAATATCTCACGGACTACAGGGCGGTAACATCACGTGTCTCTGTGTCGCAATTAAACGGACTGTGCAGGTGTATGAACTGAACAAAACACGCCAAAAGTTTCGCAAACTGAAGGAGATTCAGGTGCCCGGGCATGTGCAGTGTTTAGAGATGATGAGTCAAGGGCTGTGTGTGGGATGTCCTTCCTATTTTGCTATTTATAGTGTTCAAGGGGATTCCCCACCTACAGGTTAGTCGTAGCAGTATTGTGACATGGATTAAAAAAGGGGGTTATCTCTCATTTCAAAGGGCAGTGAAATATAGCAGAGAAATTGATCACCACTATTTTAGAATTGATTCAGTCCAAGATGATCTGTTTTCTTTTAGGCCATAATAAAAATATTCCTAGATTCTCATCCCCGCTCACCCCGATTTTATACCCCCACCTCGATTTTTTTTATTTCTGTTTTTCTTCATCTTAATTCTGATCGGGATCGGTATTCATCTACCATTCTACTTTCATTTTAAATCCCACGAAAGTCGACACGATTTTGACAGCTGTAAAGATAGTAATTGCTGTAATACATGCATATATATTTTAAACAAGGGTCATAGGTTGAAAAAGATTGGTGATGATGTGATGTAAGAGATAATTGAACCTTTACTAAATGACTTTTATTCGGGTATTGTATATAAAATTACACCGATTGACCAGGTCAATAAAAAATCTGCAAAATTGAAAAAATAAAAAATATAAAGTAAAAGCCGCCCGCCCGCCTCGATTTAAAAAAAAAAATCGGATGAGAATCTAGCAATTTATTTATTATGGCCTTATGTCAAGTGATTATTTTTTCATTAAGAAAGTTTGTAGTACTTAATATTATCATCTAAGTGAATAAGTGCCTAATTTCTAACTTACCAGGCATTGGCAAAACATCGAAAGTTTGATAAAGTCAAACATTTGTGAAAAAATAGTGATTTAAAAAGAAAGCCTAAGCTTGGAGGAGATGATGCTTTTGTATGGAAGAGATACATTTTTTAGAATTTATAATTCACAATATATTTGATTTGTAGCTTTGTTGAATGCTGAGGATAATTCTCTCCAATACCTGAGTCGAACACAAAATGACTCCCTGCTGGCAGTGGAGTTACCAAAGAATGAATTTCTACTGGTCTTTAGTGGTAAGTTATCGAAGGAGGAAATTGTAGCAATGTTTAAAATTAAAGCAGAATTCATCTAAGTGGAATGAAAGTGACACAGGCATAAAGAGTCTGTAATGAAACAATAAACAAAAGGAATTAATGAGAATGGATCTATTTTTTATCCTGAATTAGGGCTTTTATATAATGCATGTACTGCTTGGGTAATTTTATTTGATTGTATATAATTTGTTCCAGTTTGTGGTGTGTATGTAGATTCTAGTGGGAGAAGGAGTCGTCCCTATGAACTCATGTGGCCAGCTCAGCCCCACTTTGTCTGTAAGTTTATTCTGCTTATTCAGTTCAATATAATGACATCACCGTGTTGGTATGCAGTCATAATAAGATATAGTTTATAGACACTGTGGGATTGATTGTGTAGTTTCTTAAATCTGTCTGAGTATAATCAGCTGATTGTTTTGTATATTGTAGCCTACAAGGAACCCTACCTCACCTGTTATACAGAGAACACAGTGTACATGTTTGAAGTCAACCAAGGAGAGTGGGTCCAGACACTGTGTTTAAAAAAGGTAAACATCAAAAAAAGAAGGGGTGAGATAGAGCTACTAAATGAAAATACATAGTAAATTAACTATAGTAATGATAGCACACTGTTTGCTTGACAAGTTATGAACCCTTGACCCAAAAAAGTAAAATTAATGTCCTTTAGGTCTATAGTTCAGATCCTAGTACATTGAAAGTACATTATATTTCAGTAAAAGAACATTATTCTAAGCAAAAGTTTAATTTATATTGATGAGAAGGAAAAACATTCCTGTACCAAAATTGAAAAATCAGTGTTGAATTTTGGGCCTCTGTTTTTCACATGGTTTTGGAGACCTGAACTTATAATACCTGTCTATCATCTGCTTATGTACATGTAAACGTGAAATAATTATCACTGTACCTATCTTTTTATGTACAGACAAAGCCCCTATCAAGGGACGGCTCATTGAATCTCTATACCAATATAGACATGCAGTATATTGTCTACTTCAAAGACCTACACGCAGGTAAGGCAGAAACTTTCTATGCAGAGCAGTAACTTCCCAATACATGTGATCAGAAGAAAGTATTGAAACATTTTTATTTTTCATATTTTAGAAGAAGACACCTTGGCTATATCGGAAATTTTTAAGGGAAAAAGTGTCAATCGTAACAAACGAAGGTTTTCTTTTAAAACAAGAGACGATCACGATCGGGGATCGCGGGGGTAAGTCCATTTCAACATTTCATCCCTCTACATGTCTGTAATCTGATACTAAGAACTCAAAAGTCAAATTTTTAGTGTGGGTGGAATATTTTTGAAAGGGGCATCTGCAGATTTTTATTACAGTGTAATAAGTTGACATTTATTTTGTTTTTAATCAATATACTTGCACGTAAAATCATATCTGAGTAAGTTTATAATTTAAGCATTGTAATGTGATGGATTATTAAGTATTTATTAATACATATATACAGTAGGTACAGGGATATAAACTCTATGTAGATCATTTATACATGTGTGTATTTGTAACATTAAGTAATGTGAAATTTTATCATGACTATATACAGTACATGTATAGACATGTGTTATTGTCCCTCATTTATTGGGTATCATATTAAAATTTTACAGATTTTAAGTCATTTCAACATGTTCAGATGAAGTGATATCCTACATTGTATAGAAAATCTACAATTCAGAATATCTTACTGTCTATACTAGCATGTCTGCTCACCGACTCTAATCATAACCCCCTTTGGCATCATGACCTAATCCACTTTGACTTCTTAATTTATGACCAACATATACTGGCATTCTACTAAGCATTGGTGACTCTTAGCATCTTGACAAAGCATTTTGAGACTTACACATAAAACAAAGCATTTTGACTGCCATGTAAACTGTGTAAAGCATTGTGACTGTAGCCAATTCACAGCACCATTAGGACCTTTGTAATAAAGCAGGGCGTAAGTGTATGGAAGCCTCCTGAGCTAACTTTGATATATAACACTAAGGATCTGTGTTCTGTAGCCCTGAACGGAGATCGCGGGAAATCTCAGCTCCGATGTCCTTCAGTCATGTGGCTCACATGGGCCCGGATCAGGTGTTCTCCTCCGGCACCGCCCACAACGTTCCTACCGCCACCCAGTAAGAATCGTACCCTCCCCCACGGCTTGTACTAACCCTGCATGTCACTGCCCGCTAGAAGGCTCCACTCGGTGGGGTGTGGGGCTCCCTTTGCTGGCTTTAGCTTGCAGGCTATGCCAAATCATAGTAGAGTTAGACTGTAGTAGTGCAGATTTAGTGGAGTTTTCACACAGGTGATGGGAATCTTTCCTCTTTAACACAGCCTCCTTTCATTTGTAACTTCTTAACTTTCACTTTCATTATATACTGCACTGAATTTTGCTGTATCATGTGGGAAAGAGATTTTGTTTTTGCATGAAATCCTCTTAATGGGATAAGAATTTTGCAGCATGAAGGAGGATTTGGAAGAACAACACTTGCATGTATGTCGGGGTTGGGGGTGGAGTGTAAGTGCATTATGTTTGCAATGAAAGAAGGGGAATTTCTTGCTTATTCTAGCTTGAAAGGAAATGCTGAAAGTATGAAGCAGGTACATTTATTTTCAGCACCACAAAATGCAAAGCTTGTGTAAAACTGCATGCTTTTAATATATAGTCAGATCTTTTGAGAGTGAGAAATTCCTGCGTGAGAGTGGACATGTGTGCAGATTGTCATTGCATGATTGGTATTGGTATTGTGTGCTATTGTTTTAGTCTATGGTTTCATTTTCCATATAAAATGATGAAAGCATGGAATTATCTAAGAATTTTAAGAAAGCTTTCAGAAAAAGCCTTTGGGCAAACATTATGACAGTTTAAAGTATATAGTATTAGGGCTAGTAGGTTGAGAGAATCTATAAGCCCAGATACATGTTACAGATAGAAATTTTACCTTTTATCTAGGTCAGACAGGAGGTCGAAGATTATATCTGGTCCAATCAACTTCAGTCATGTGGCCCACATGGGACCAGATCAAGGAATGCAGGCCCTGATTGACCTGCCCAGGGTAAGTTTATAATGTATCCTTACACTAATATATACATATCTATATAATTGTATGTTTTACTATGATCCCTATAAACAGATCTTGGAGGGATTTACCTGATTCTATTCTGTTTGTCTGATGACCATTGAAATTTTTTTCCAACAGTTTATTTTGTTTGGGAATTTTTTTTTCAAAACTGTAGAAAAATATATCAACAACTTTTAACATGTGTACCTAGAATTTTCAGTGATTTGTCAAAATTTTCAAAAAGTGGGGTTTTGAAGATTTCATTGTGCAAGATTCAATGATGAACTGTAGAAATTTGTACTTGAATAAAAGCTTGCTTATAACTCATGGGTAAATCCAAAAAATTGAAAGGTCAAGGCCTCAACTATTGGAAGCTAATAAAGTGTTCATAGTAGATGTATCTGATTTAATGGTTATATAATAAATAATGAGTAATTATCATTGATAATAAATTGGTGACCTTTTGACCTGTAGGGTGCTCAGAGTGGAAATGGAATGCCAACAAGCCCAGGGGTGGATCCAAGCCAAAAGAACAAGCTCTTCTCCATGAAAGCTCTCCAGGAAGTTCAAATGAGGGGGGCCAGGACGTCAATGGCACATCCAAATGGTGAGTCACTTATAGGATTCAGGGAGGGGGAGGCAGGGGACTTTCCCCTTCGAGACTTAAATGTGTGAAAAAAAAAACGGTTCTTTGTATACCCGAGTCATATCCCAGTGACAGATTAATAAGATTTAGTAGTTAATTCCATTATGATTAGATATTTTACATTCAGAAACCTTGACAAGGAAATATAGAATAGTATCATTATATACTGGGGGTTAACAATGTATTCTGTTATGACTGTGATGTTTACAGGAAGTGCCCGGCGTGATTCAAGTTCAAAGGTCGGCGCTATGAACAACAGTCCTCGTCAACCGTCAGCCTCATACCCTGAAAGTCCCGACACGTCTAACGATACGTCATCTCTGGGCGATCTCTCCACTGCCATATTTGAGGTGCGTAGTCAGGACGGAGTTGTCTTTCCTAGTTCTCAGTAGTGTTAGACTTTGAAGACCCTGTAGTATTTTTGACAAACACCTGCTTCAAACAATTATTGATACATTTGTTAAAATTTGTTAACTACTGCTTACAGATAGACATGTAAAAATATTAAAAAGGTAGGGCTTATTTTCGTGGGATTTGATAATTGCATTAACTAATTACTTAAACACAAACTCCTGACCACATGGTTTAATGGAATTTTTTTTTTCCACATTCATTTATCCATGGAAAGGGTATGAAATAAACATTGAGGCAGTTCAAATAAAGAAATAATTAAAACAAAGCACTATTATATAAGCAAAATAATGAAGCTAGGGTTTGGTATATTTTTTTATTCTAATGCATGTTTTTTTTTCTAGAAATTAAACTGATTTTTAAAAGTATATTTTAAAGCTTCTCCTCATCAATACTTTTTATTCTTGCACTTATTTTTGGGGTTGAAGTTGTTTTTACTTTTCTTGACTACCTTCTACATGTAAGGGAGGCCACTCACCTTCAGCTAAGTTTATCTCATCTCTCTTTTAGTACATTGATGATAGAAGGGATATATTTGAAGTAAGCCAATTTATGTTCATGTACAAAACAAGTATAGAACCATCTAATACAGATACCATAGTATACCATTTGTATATATATATGTGATGTTAGTGCCATGTTGCATGGTCCAACTGCTCACTAATTTCTCATTTATCATGTAGAAACTCTCCAATGTATAGGTGAGTTTGTGGAAGGGGGGGGAGAAAATCGCTTAAAGCTTGACACTATCTCATGCCGTCTCCCTCCATGGTTCATCCCCTATCATCATCACATCTGTTACATACACTGCCAAAAATAGACTCTTCCCATTCCACAGGCAATTAATTACAGAAAATGATATCCACATTATTTAAAAATAAATCTAAAGAATTTTTACTAATACACATGGAATATCTGCAGGATTCAAAATATCATGTATTTTTAGAAAATAAAGAGAGGATATTAAATAATGGAAAACTATTTCTTATTGCCCTTCTTTTAAATTCATATATAGCCAGCCTAAATGTGTATATGTATACATGTATAAATATTACATACGTAATCATGCTATCTGTACTTAATATACCTGGGCATAATCTCCCGTCGACCTGTATCATTACACAACTGGTTGCCAGGGTAACCTGTACAGTGACATCACTTAGTAACTGCTTATTCTTCTGCTTACCACAGGTTACCACGGTGTCGCCGGGGACTCGATCTGTTAGCAGCAGTGTGTCCAATGCTACCTATGATAGCTCATGGCATCAGTGACTTTCAGGTCTTCATTTCTGTCGTGCCTCACTCACTTTGCTTAGCATTCCCTTCCTTTCACACTGCAGATGATTTCAGCATGGTTTATGTTGTGGGTTACATACAAGCTGTCTCTCTGGGGTTATTGGATGATATATTTCCGCTGAGGGTACTTGTATATTTATGTGGAAATAGGCTCAGGTTTATAGCTTACAAGATTGTAGAAGTAGGCTTAGGTTTATAGCTTACAGGATTGTAGAAATAGGCTGGGGGTTATAACTTCTAGGTTTGTTAAAAAAGGCTGAGGGTTATAGCTTATAGGATTGGGAAAATAGACTGAGGTTTATAGTGTATAGGATTGTGGAAATAGGCTAAAGTTTAAAACTTGTAGGATTGTGGAAATAGGTTTAGTTTTATAGCCTATAGGATTATGGAAATAGGATGAGTTTTATAGCCTGTTAGGGATTGTTGAAATTTTACAGCCTGTAGGATTGTTGAAATTTTATAGCCTGCAAGATTGAAATAGGCTTAGTTTTATAACCTGTAGGATTGTGGAAATTTTATAGTCTGTAGGATTGTGGAAATAGGCTTAGTTTTATAGCCTGTAGGATTGGGAAAATAGGCTGAATGTTATAGCTTATAGTAAAGTGCAATTAAACTGAGGATTCAAGATGGAAAATAACAGTGTGTTACAAGTTTAAATCTTATATGAAAGTTAAGATTGTACTTGATAGTAGAAATAGAAAATGAAGATAAATGGTGTTTTAAATAACTATGGTGTCAAATTAATGGTAATGACCTTTAGGATAATGAATTAATATGCTGTCAGGGATTTAGCTTGTTGGATAGTGAAAATGGAAAAGAGGGTTCAATGGAAAAGGAAAAGAAGATTTGAAATGTATGTAGGTTTAGAGTGTCAAAGGGGTGTTATAAGTTAGTTGCAATGCGTGGCACAATGTTTGGAACATTGCTGACATGGTTAATGAGTAAATAATGAATATAAAAATTGTTCTAATATATATGCATAGACTGATGGAAAAAAAATACAAGGCTAGAATTAAGAGAAGTTTTGTTTTTCTAATTTTGTAAGTAAAATAGGTTATGAGCTAAGACCTTATAAATCTAGACAATTAATTAGCTCAAATGCTTTTGGTTGGCTGAACTAAACATTATCCTCACAGATGAACATGCAGTCTATTTGGAAAAGTATATTTTGTATATTGTGTGATAAATTTCATTTGTTAGGGTAAAAATCTTATGTCAATTTTTAAGAGAGAATTCAGTTGTCAGGGTTTAGATTTTGTTCTATTGATCGATTGTTTCAGTTGTCAGGTTAAGAATGTTGTCCTGTCAGTTATATGATAGATTTTAGTTGTCATGGTGTAAATTTTGATCTATGGATTGATTGATAGATTGGAGTCGTCAGGGTACAAATGTTCCATTGAGTTGTCAGGGTATAAATGTTGTTCAGTATAAGTTGATCCTACAGTGTTGTTGCATGATCCGTTTAAATGGCATGTTGTTAGTGAGTTGTCTTTGATTGGCTCTGTCTTCTTTTTAACAGCAGCTTTCCAATTCAGTATGTGGTCTGACACTAAAGGTTAGAAAAACCGAGTTCTCTCTCTATCAATCGTTTCACGTTCACAGGCATGAGGCATTATGTTCAGTTCATTTTGATTTGTTATGGTCTTAAAATTGTACATCGTTTGATTTTTTGAATAACTTTCGTCATTAGTTCACAATTTTATTTTTTCCAGTTGACAGGTGGCATGTTATTCACTGCCTAACACATGAATTAATAAATGAATTTCATTAACAAGTCTAATATTGAGGCAAAATTATTAATTTTATTATTTTAACCAACTGAATAATTAAGAGAGAAATAAATGATATAATTACTTAATAAAAAGTAAGGCACAATACTTAGAAAAATAATACATAAAAGTCATTACATTTCATTAAATTGGAAATGTTTTATACAGCATCAGTAACATTGTCATGTTTTTAACCAGTTTATAATATTCATGCATCATTTTAACTAGATAACGATATTGACAGTTTTATATGGGTGTGTAACACTGACCCTGTCTTTGTTGTAGGATATCTCGTTTGACCGGCCAGGCACACGACTGTCTGTGGCCTCCACTGCCAGTAGTACCTATAGCAGCGCCTCGGCCCGGGAAAGTCTGTCAGAGGAACATCACCAGCAGGAGGAGCCCGAAGTCGAGACATCTCACCTATGATTAGGCTCAGGTCGAGATCAAAACATCTTACCTGTGATTCATTTCACCTGTCGGAACTCGCCCTGAGATATAGCCAGATGACACTCTGCTGGGGATGGTCACATGACATGGCAGTGTATAAGAGTTATCTCCCCATTGTATTTTAGCCTCCATTGTTTCTAATATACATGGCTTAATTGTTCAGCTGTCGTCATGCTTCAGTGATCACATGTTAGAGAAAAAAATGTCAAGTGTTCATTTTGAATCTGTGGTGTAGTGTTGAAGGGCAGAAATTCAATGTTTAATATAATGTGTGTTATGGACATAATCATGATCAAATTTACTTAATCGGTTCTCTGATCAAAGTCCTTCCTCCCTCTGTTAGGAATCTGTTTTCTGTGGTTGTTTTCCTCCTATTGTTACTTAAGATCTGAAGAGTTTTTATAATTCATGTACTAGGTCCATTTTGTATAAATTGTCACAAGAGATTATAATACTGTTTTCCCCCTTTGTAATCCTAACTAATAATATATTTGTTTTGTCATTTACACACAGTATTTATCAAGCTCCAGATATGTGATTATGACATGAGAGAAAGATATATTAAGCCTATTTTTAGGTTCAGCTGTTTGGGTTACTAGTTTTACTAAGTTTTTATTACGTGGTTAATTTTTACAGCGAAGGATTATGATTTTTATGAGTGGCTTGGTGTTAATAGTTCTGTTGCTATGTATTGTATCAGCATGGATTTCAATTTATGTCTTCCATTATTTTTTTTTTGTGGTCTGATCTAATGTGATACAACAACAGGTGCCCCCCCCCCCCTATGATGTGAGATGGGCCAGCTCCCCCCCTGTACATGGTGCTCTACTAACTGTACTTAACAAACCAAAGCAAATATCAGTTTCTTTTTTATTTGCCATGTGTACAGAATGGTTCTTTGTTTTTTTGTGCCAAAGACATTTTACTGATGATAGATGGGACATGTGATGTATAAACAAATCTAGTACTTTTGTCCCCTTTATTCTTCCAGAATTGTTATTTTGACGATGGTTTGTTTTCAAATTTTATGCTTGCTTCTGATATATGATTTAGTATTTAAATAATTTTTTGAACTTCATATTTGAAATTCATTGAAGCTAGCACTTGTTGATAGTTATTAAGTATAGTTCAGTTAATTTGTTCATTATATCTTGGGTTTCTATCAATGTTTTTAGAATTTTTAGAGAAAAAAAACATTGTTCAATTTGTAAGACTAGTGATATTTTGAATGATACAGCCAGCCCTCATGGATCTGAAAAGACAGAAAAATTTGAAATGTGAAGTGAAGAGAGATTTTTTCATAAATGGCAATGCAATAGCTTGTCTCATAATGCATTACATGTCATTCATTATCCCAATAGTGTGTACCAGAATATTAATTATATTAATTATAACTAATATATTACATGGTCAGTGTGGTGACCTGATAGTTGATTGGGAGTGGTGCGTAGATGGGTGTACGGCGTAGATAGGTGTTAACGAGGGACACAACACGTGACATTCCAGTGTCTGGTTAATTAACACTGGACTGGTTAATTAACACTGGACTGTTTAATTAACACTGGACAGGTGTCCTCCACACTGCTAGTTCTAGTACAGCTGCACTCAGCCATCCGTTCTCGTGTTACCATGAGAACCGTGCCATAACTTCTCTATGTATTCTACCTCCGCTAGAACAAATCATTTCTCCGTTTCTTGTATTTTACAATTGATCAGAATATTTTAATGTCAAGGTAATTTTTCATCATGAGCAACAACAGAAACTTGGCGTTCTGAGAAATTAGGTACTAGTAATACTGACTAGCAAATTTTAATTCAAGTTGACTTACCATTTAAAAGCAAGTCCTTAAATCCATCCCCCTCCCCATTAATGTGCAAGATATCTCCCACTTAGAAGACAACAATTTAACCACTGTAAGTGTTGAAGTCCACTGTTGAGCCCCGACCCTGATTTTTAAATTAAAAGAGGACACCTCTTAAGTAAAGTTTATCCCCCTTGCTAGGTTTGAGTCTTAGTCCTTTTAAGAGGTTAGTCTTTATTCCCTCTTCTCTAGTGACATGTTTCAAGTTCAAGGACAAAACTCAATCTGGCACCATAGAAACTTAATCATTATTTCAAGAAGTAATTAATCAGTTAAAATGAATTAATATAGTGATATTTATTTTGAAAAATGCTAAAATCTTTCCTTTTTCCATTCCAAAATCCTGTTTTTTTTTTTTTAAATATTGCTAGGCAATAGAGCATAACTTGTTATGATGTGATGGTTGACCTTTGACTTTTAAGCCTGCATACATTAAGATAGTTGTCTTCTGTACCAGGAATCAAAATAATTAAGTGCAATTGAGGGTGTACATAGTGTGAAGTTGAGGATGTATATATGTATATGTGTCGCTGTATAAACTGCATATCAGTCAGGCTGTTTGTAGCTCCCAATGCGTAGGCCTCTGCTTATTACTGTATAGAAGTTTTTTAACACAATAATTATTAACTATGTATTAAATGCAAATTATAAAAAATGACAATGAAACAGACAATTATTAAAAAACTGCTGGAAATATCATTTGGTTTTTGTTGAGAATCTTTGTTCTGTATAGAACATATACTGCTTGAATTGAGAATTTATTTTTGTTGTATAATATGAAAGATGGTTGAATATATTCAAGAAAAAGAATTGTAAGGACACATGCATAGCTACAGATAAAGCAATTGCTGGCCCATAGGAATTTTTATTACTTTGACCTTCCAGATGACCTTGAATTGCACTTTTCAAGTTCATGCACATAACTAATTGCAGATTTCTTTACAACTAGTGTATATCTGTACTGCACTGGAATTTTCATTTCAAAATAACTCGTTTCAAAATGATCACAAACTTATGTCCCCTGCAGTGGAGATATTTAATGTACCTGTTAAGGAGAAACAAGATGTGTTTGTGAAACACAATATGCCTGATAGCAATTAAGTTCAAAAAACTATTTCAAGCATATAGGTCACAGTCAAGGTCAAAAGGTCATTGACCTTGGTGTCATTTAAAAGAAACCATTTAGTGGAGTATGCATACTAAAAATGAAGTCTGTATCTCTTATGGTTCAAAAGTTATGGAGAAGATTCAAAAAAGGCTATTTTTTGCATATAGATCACAGTTTTTGACTTTAGTGCCAGTGCACTTTGCATACCAAACATAGGAGTCGAATCCATTCTTTTGTAAAGATAGGCATTGAAATTGGGGTTTGCCTTTCTCTATTGGTTTAGCCCCCCCCCCCCTTTTTCAATTTGCTTCTGACGCTCATGCCAAATATGCAGTCTCCATCTCTTATGGTTCAAAAGTTATGGCGAAGGTACGAAAAAGCTATTTTTAGCACATGTCATATGTCACAGTCAAGGTCATTTGACCTTGATGCCATTTGAAAGACCTTAATTAGTTGGGTATGCATACCAAATATTAAGTCTATCTCTCATGGTTCAAATGTTATGGCGAAGGTTAAAGTTGAAGACACACATACATGTATAAGACAAAACCATCCCCCCATCCCCCCCACCATTAAATCAAACAAATTCGGCACCTCCACCTGACTTTCATAGCATGCTAGGAAATATTTTGTCACACGTAATGCACATGTCAAATATGAAAGCCCTATTTCTTCTCAATCAAAGATTATGACGAAAAAATAACATTTTTGAAAAGTAGGTCGAGCATCAGGGTTCAAGGTCATGGGGTCAGAAATCATAGCGTAGCTATAAAGGTCTTGTCACAGGTAATTTAAAATGTGAAAGCCCTATCTTGAGGCTTCTCATCCACTGAAAAGAACTGACCAATGTTAAAGTCTTTGAAAAGTAGATAAAAACTTCAAGTTCAAGGGGTCAAAATTCATAGTTGTATTCAGAAAGGCCTTGTCACAGGTAATACGCATGTACAATATGAAAGCCATATATTTAAAGTAATGTCTATATTGAAAAGTAGGTCAAACTTCAAGGTCACGTGATCAAAAATTCATAATTGTATTTAGAATCGTCTTGTCATGGGTAATACACAATTTTGGTATGAACGTTCTGTTTCTTCTCGTTTAAAACAATGACCAAGGTTAAACGTTTGATACAGACTAAAAGACTGACAGACCTATACAGACGAAAGCGCGATTTAATGTCTCCTCAATTTCGAGAAAGCGGGGGACAAAACACACCAAGATGAAGTAAGTAGATGCATTAACAAAAAGGATGCCATGAAGTACAGACTCTGTAAATATATGTAATTATGGGCCATGTCTCTGCGTTTCATTTGATTAGAAGACACAGCATTAACAAGTGACTCGCTGAAACAAAGACATGATAATGGAAAATCAATTAAGTCATCTGTTTTACTGCATGAGGCTCACATTTGAACTTATTAGTCAAAGAAGATGGGAAGAATAAAGAGAGCAAAATGGTTGAAGTTATTCGTTTATGGCAGAGACCGAATAGGGCAAAAATGTTCATACGAAGACACAAGTGTTCCTCCATGAGCAGGCCTCTTTGCTTCATTTTTTTCCAGGAGGGGGGGGTATGTGTTGTTAAACGTCCCTCTCGATTTTTCTACCCCCGCTTGAAAAGTGGGAGGGTATACTGTAATCGGTATATCCGTCCGTCTGTCTGTTACGCTTTGGGGTACCCATCTCTTATCCGCAACTCCCCTTATACCACTGAGTGAAATTTAATGAAACGTTCACAGAATCTTTATTACATATTGCCATTGTGCACCTCCAATTTATTTTTTGATCCGACACATATTTTGGGTTTACCTGCCACAGCAAAACATGGACTTTGCCTTTATAATCATATGGAAGGCGGGGGTATCATTTAGTGAGCTCGATTGCTCACAATACCTCTAGTTTTTACTCGCACGAAGACGCCACCACTTGCCGGTGGAGAGCTGCAAAATTATAGTCCTATGCTCATCACTTTACAGTCATAGAGCATGCAGATCATTTTCGTACCAGCACCTACTGCGACACGGGGCCTCGGTTTATAGGGTCTCATCCGAAGGACCAGTCGATCTCCACGTCCCACAGTGGAATTCGAACCCGCGACATAATTTAAAACTCCTCACTTCGCGACTCTAGATCTAGAGCAGACGCTCTAACCACTGTGCCACATGGAGATTGGGGGTAATATCTGTACGAATGCTTCTTTTTTTCTATTTTTTTATACCCCCCCCCCCGCTTGAAAAGTGGGAGGGTATACTGTAATCGGTATGTCCGTCCGTCTGTCTGTTACGCTTTGGGGTACCCAGCTCTTATCCGCAACTCCTCTTATACCACTAAGTGAAATTTAATGAAACGTTCACAGAATCTTTATTACATATTGCCATTGTGCACCTCCTATTTTTTTTACTTTTTGATCCGACACATATTTTGGGTTTCCCTGCAACAGCAAAACATGGACTTTGCCATTATAACCATATGGGAGGCGGGGGTATCATTTAGTGAGCTCATTGCTCACAGTACCTCTTGTTTTCGGTTTCATGGAGCAAAGACCCATTATACACCTTAAATTTCAGACAACATTCAGTTGTTAATATTATGGACTGCATTGCGCAGTGGTTACCCAGCGTGCCGTAGTCTGGAAAGGGAAATTGATGCAATGTATATCACAGGTACTTGTGGACAGGACCCCCTCCAACCACCCCCCTCGATATTCAACCCCGGGGCTTTTTGGACATTTTTTTCACAAATTGTATTTATTACACTTATATTCATCATGTGTACAATATGAAAAAATCCCCAAAACCTCAAAACAATCGCTCCACAAAAAAAAATACCCACTATACATTTTAAGGGAGATTATAATGAATAGTGGGGTATTTTTTGTGGAGCGATTGTTTTGGGGTTTGGGGAATTTTCTCATATTGTACACATGATGAATAAGTGTAATAAATATAATTTGTGAAAAAAATGTCCAATAAGCCCCGGGGTTGAATATCGAGGCGGGGGGGGGGGGGGTTGTACACAAGTACCTGTGATGTGTATAGGCCGGATTTCTATTCCTTGACTTCAATCCTCCAAGAAAATTACTTTTTTAAAATTATAGAATGATTTTGCCGAAAGAATTTTCCTCACAGAAGTATTCAATTGAGTCATATCTTTTTTTATGAAAATATTGGGTATATTTACCGTATTTACAAATTAATAACATGTAAATATGAGTTTTATACATATGAAGCTATCTATGCATTTTGTTCGCTGAAAATGATCTTATGTGCGCCTTGCTGAATTCTTTAAATTCATACTCAATCACAGGAGGTTGTCTGTTGAAGATCAGTAGGTGATTTGATTTGTAGCAATATAAAATTATATATTTTTGTGCTGAGCCTATCAAGTTATCAACAGAATATGAACAAAGGGAGATTTTTTTCTCTCTACAATTAATCTAAAAGACAGGTAGTCACAAATTCATTATCTGATTGTTTCATAATTAATTTGACTATAAGCCGACGTGGAAATATGCAGAACCTTTATATTAAAATATGTTCAAATAATGACTGGCCTAGATATTACATGAACACCTGACCTAGCTTACAGCGAAGGCGTTTATAGAAGTGGGATAAATATTTCTCTCAAGCTGCGCATTTGCAACTTTATAGAAGGTAATGCGTGGTGGAGAAGATAATCATTTATAGATAAACATGATTTTGAATCTTTATTGCATATATAGGTGGCTGCAATGATTCGAAAGATTTATCATTTAACTGTATACATGAATTGATGATCTCACAACAAAATTAGTCAAACCCTGGAAGAAATAGGTTCGGAAGCTAGACCTTGCAATTAAAAAAACTTGATATGACCACAGGGACTTGCTCCTGGCGTGTAAAAAATATTTATTAAAAACTAGAGGTACTGTGAGCAATGAGCTCACTAAATGATACCCCCCGCCTCCCATAATGTCGATGTGTTGCTTTATATTGTTTTACGGTAATGTGTAAAGAGGAATAACTCGTCCTATGAAGTGTTATCCAGAAGCTTCTATTATGTGACGTCATAGGTAAACAAAAAATGGCAATGTCCATGTTTTGCTCTGGGAAACCTTAAATACGTGTCGAATAAAAAAGTAAAATAGGAGGTGCACAATGGCAATATGTAATAAAGATTCTGTGAAAGTTTCATTAAATTTCACTCAGTAGTATAAGAGGAGTTGCGGATAAGAGAAAAAGCGTAACAGACGGACGGACGGACGGACAGACGGACGGACGGACGGAAATCCCGATCACTATATACCCTCCCGCTTTTCAAGCGGGGGGTATAAAAATACTACAAAACTACACGTAGTTTTATAGTGTATCGTTTTTTTTCATGAATATTTTTTACACGCCAGGAGCAACTTGTCCCTGTGATATGACGTCCAAAATAAATAGTTTCTCTTTCCTATAAGGTCTTCGACAACTTATAACTATTTTTTGCATAAAATTTAATACATCCCCGCAATCATATTATCATAAACCCATTTTTGTGGCCTTTTATTACACTATAGCTATAGAAGATTTTACATGCATTGTCATGATTATATTTGGTTATCAGGTTTGAGAAGAAATAATAAATTTCTGTACCATGGAGAAATTAAACAAATAACTACAAACATATCAATACATTTATGAATAATTCTCAGTAGAACGGCCCCTTTTCTGATTAATAATTTTTCCGTCCCGATTCATTCTAATGCTGGCAATTTAATTAGGTTAACTATCTCAAAACTCTTTTAAAAGAGATAAACCTTTACCGGCAAACAAGATCGAGGACCATATGGGCCACATTGCTCACCTGAGCACTGTGGCTAGGAAAGAAGAAAAAAATCAATCAGTCAATTAAAATCTTTAATATACGAGTATAGGTGGTCCTAACATACCCCTAAAAAAGGAAGGGAGATATGATTTGAACATGATAACTACCCCCGGGGTTCATGATTTAAACAAACTTGAATCTACACTATCTGAGGATGATTCCACTTTCATTTTTCCTATGGCTTTGTTGTTCTTGAGAAGAAGATTTTAAAGATTTTTCTTATATATTCCGATGTAAAACTTTGATCAGCCATTGTGGCCACATTCTACCCCAGGGGTCATGATTTGAACATACTTGAATCTATATATACACTATACTTGAAAATGTTCCATATTAGGTTCATCTTTTCTGCCCCAGTGGTTCTTGAGAAGAAGATTTTTTAATCATGCCACCAAATTTTCACATTTTCTTAATCATCTCCCCTTGAAAGAGGACATATATGGTCCTTTATTTGAACGAAATTGAATCCCCTTCACCCATGCAAGGATGCTTTGTGGCAAGTTTGGTTGAAGATGGTCCAGTGTGGTTCTTCAGAAGTCGAATGTGAAAAGTTTACAGACAGACAGACGGACGGACGGAACAAGAGATTGTAGTCTTTTATTTTAAATTTTAAATACATTTTCTCTGTGCAAGGAGCTTATGTTATGAATTTCAAGTTGGGAAGAGGAGTATATATATATGATCCTTGCTCACAACTTGAGGGAAATGTCATTCAAAATTGTCTCAAGGGATGCACGCCCAACGGCAGGGCTTCATTTTTCATGTGCATTAGATTTAGGTTTGCTAAAACCAGGTTTTATATTTAGAGCAATATACAGATAGGGCATATTTAATCTGTGCCGTCGAAGGGAAGGGGGCGGGGTGTCAAGCTCTCGAGATCGTCTGTACATAATTAGCTGAGTTTAAAATTATTAACAGGTTGCACTTGTCAAAGTATATCTAATTAATTAGGGCCTTCTGGAACAGAAATTAAACAGCATAAACAAGGAATGTGGGGTTTCCATTTTCATGTGACGTCGAGTCAATTAGAATACATCGGAAATGTCCGAAAAATACCGTGTGCACTCTAAAAATTGATAAACTGAAACAAATTATATAACACCTGTCTTGTACCTTACCATGAACGATAAAAGTTGCAAATCTGATAATGAACAAAAGTTATTTCAATGCAGCATCTTTGGAATGTTGATACGATTTTAGCCGAACACCCACGGATTTCTACGAAACCTAAATTTAGCACCATTACGTCTTGGAATTTCACATACTGAATTTACCGTTTGGAAAGCCCAAGCCAGAAATATACTGGAGCGTGTATACACCGCAAAGTATTTACGATATGGCCGAGATCAACTTTGGTTTGGGTATGTATTGCAGGTTTTTTTTACTTCAAAAAGATTATATTCTCATAAATAACTTACTTTGTTGGGTGTTGTCAAACTGAAAGTGGAAATATTTTGGTCGCCATTTGTATTTTGCTTAAAAATCTAGCCAAAACAAGTTTGTAAACTATTGACAACATACTGTCAGTGTTACGAATAACAATTTTTTATTTGTAATCTACATAATTTTGCATGACACGTACTTAAAATCAATTGAAAAGGAAGAAAAACGATTTTGTGTTCAATGAGGCGTGACGTAGGATATGATTTTTGATCGTAGGTCGATCACAACAAGCAAACACTTCAGCCATCTAAAATCGTGTGTTCCCTCACTCCCACACTATCAAAAAAATTATACATGAACATGTTTTCTATGTCACGTTATAAGAACTAGTTGTCAGCTTTTGCCTGGGCGAATTTTTAAACTTCCTGATAATATTGTTGTCTGTTGTTTGAATAGTTTTGTTACTCGTTCTGTTATAACAGAGAACCCCATGGGCTTGGGGAGCAATGACTTGAGTCGGCTTCTCATGGACGGGACTACGGAACTGCTGACTATGGACCCCAGCGACAACGATCTTGTCCAGCAACTTATTGGTAACTTTTTTTATATATACGATAATACGGTTGAACTTTAGTTTTAGTATCTTAGACAATGACATCTCGAATACCTGATGGATATGTCAAAGTAACTTGAGACACCAACCCCCTTTTTAAAGATATTTTACCCAGGATTTCTCAAATCCTTGGATATTTGGAAAGTTTTTTCTTGGTCCCACTGAGTTTGAGATAGCTCTGTTTGACTTAATTTAAAAGCCATTAGGCTTACATGGTTGAAAAGTTGTACTTTTCTCTCAATGTGCCTTCTTTTTTTGTTCATTAAAATTACTAAATTATTGAGATGTATGTAATTTTTAATGAAAAAAGAACTAAGTTAAAACCAGTTCAAAATTCAAAAAGAAAAAAAATCTGTAGTTGTCTATCTGAACAGCTTAATGAATTCAACGAGATTAAAAGAGAAAATTAAGCCAGTATCATGTTGTGTTATTTATATTTTATGAATGAAAGTTTTTATATGTAAGTCCGTCGTATTTGCTTTTTGTACATTGAGAGAGTTTGTTTATTTTATGTTCAACTTTGACTCAAGTCAAATACAGGCACGCAATCTTTTAAGATCAATTAAGTCATAAAAAACATTTTCCATGCTTATTATAAAGTTATTAAATCCATAATAAATTAATAACAACAAATTAAACTATTAAAGAGACTCATTATTTATTGTTGGAAAGAATTATACCATATGATATTATAAAGCTGCTCCTTTGAAAGAAGTCCTGCAGTATCACCCTGGCATAGGACTCTTCATCCATTATTTTCATAGATATATATAGCTTACCCTAATCCCCATTGTTCTATTTTCACAGCCACTCAGACCCAACAGGAAAACAACTTATTTCAGACAGGGACACAATTCCCCCTGAATCAGACACAGCCCTCAAAGCCCCCCAAACAGGCGAGCGGCAGATCCTCTCATAATAAGACCCCTGACGGAATATACGTGGAAATCACGGAGCAGCCCAAACAGAGGGGGCTTCGGTTCCGTTACGAGTGTGAGGGGCGGTCAGCGGGCAGCATCCCCGGGGAGAACAGTACCTCCGAGAAAAAGACGTTTCCTACCATCAAAGTAAGGAAGGAGAAAATTTCAGAACTTTGGGGGTGGGGTGGGGGCAGATCTTGATAAGGGGAGGGTGGGGATATTACTTTTAATTTACCAAAACACAGATAAGGTAACGGTATTATAATTGTATTATTTTGCCTTGTGTAATGTAAATGACCATTGGTGAACTTCCTTATGATATACAGTGGTAAAATAAATCTGACCTTAAAAACTATATACATGTAATGTTCTATTATGTTTTGATTAAGATAGTATTAAGGTGATGTCAGTGACATATTGGCCTACAACATCAACATGAAGAATGTCATTTACTGTAAACCAACTTTTATTTGCGACGACTTTATTTCGCGATTTACCGGGGGTAAACTAGTTGGCGACGATTATTTTTCGCGATCAAGCCTATTTAGGTTCTATTGTTAATAGACACATAGACTTTAAGAACTGGTTCGCGCAGAGAAATATTCGCGATGACGAGGCTCTCGCGAACATCGCGAAAATTTCTCGCACGCAAATAAAAGTTGGTTTACAGTATTCAAAGTAATATACATGTATTATTTTTCATTTATTAATTTCCTTCCCCAGATACATAACTACACTGGCACAGCTGTGATCGTGGTGTCCTGTGTCACCAAAGACCAGCCCTATGAACCCCACCCCCACAATCTGGTGGGGAGGGACTGTAAGAGGGGAGTGTGCACTCTGAAGGTCAAGGACACCAATGTCATCAGGTAAAGGTTAGGGGGGAAGATCTGGCCAATCAGTGTAGTGTGAGAGATCACATGACATTCTGGACATTTTATTTCATTGATATTTTATTTAGCTTTCCTTATACTGTTGTGCTGCCACTATTATTAAGTAATTATCAATATATGTATTAAGAGGATTGGGCTATTGATTGGGTTTTATAATGTTCTCTGACATTATTATGTATACCTTTGATTTTTTTTCCTGAGTATATAATTTTTTTAAATGGGTTCAGTTTAGGGTGTAATTGAGTGGTTTCAATTATCATGCAAGTCCCATTATTTGTGTGAATGAGAAATATAGTGATAAATTTTGGCTATTAAGATTATTGATAATTGATGGAAACCGAAAGAAGATTTAAAACAGATTGTCCATAAATATAATAAGCTATTTTTAGTGTAGGAATTGATGTTGAAAATTTCTAGGCTGTATTCAACTGAAGGATTTATGTGACTCCAGGTATTTAGGTAACGATTATCAGATTGGAGAGGTGTAAGGTAATATTACCCTAATTCAGGGACAGGTGTTTAACTGTATGTTGTTACAGACAGTTTATACAGGGGTGGCTTAGTGCAGGGATATACATATTTATTGATAGGGTGTAGTATTACCATTGGAAATCAAAAGTCATTTAAACCTTTTTCATATGGGATTTTGACTAGATATAACTGGATGGATTTAAATGCAGTCTAGAAATATTTAAATTAATTGGTTTGAAGTCCATGACACAAAAAATCAAAGAGTGACAAAGACCACAGAAATATTGCTTCCTACATTTTGTTGAATGAATTTATAAATCATTTTTAATCAATATAAACATCTTCATAAATGTAAATTAAATAAAAATCTTTAAAATGATTGGATATTTTAAAAAATGCCTATTTAATAGAATAAAATTTTCTGTTTTATATGGATATACTGCTCTCAACCTTCCATATTTTGTGTGATCAATGTTAAATAACAGTTGTTTTTTTGTTTCTGTTTTTTATAAAGGTGATAAATCATGGAAGTTCTTGACATTTAATTAATTAGTGTCATTCTTTGTTCGCAGTTTTCCACACCTAGGTATTCAGTGTGCCAAGAAAAAGGATGTGGAGAATAACTTAAAGCAGAGGAAAGAAATCAATGTGGATCCTTTCCAGAGTAAGTGAACTCTGACCTCTGATGAACTTTGGCCCCTACAAAAACTGAGTAGTGAGCATGGGGCTTTTGAATTTAAGTCAATAAAAGCCGAAGATGAGATAGTGGCGCATGTAAAAGAAACTCTTAAAGAATTTTTTTTGTGTTTTATCTTAAAATTTTATTTATGACTATGAAAAATCTCTGAAAGTTGTAATTTATCAAATATTGATTAACGCATGAGATGTTTTTCCCAACACCTGGTACAATTTATTGAATTGCACTCTTTCCATGCAGTTGCCTTCTACATTATTTGTTTTAAATTTTCTTTTTATTAAGTGATGAAATTATTTGAATTATGTTTTTGTTTACAGGTGGCTTTAGACACTTAAACAAAGTTAACAGTATAGACCTAAATGTGGTACGACTCTGTTTCCAAGTTTTCCTTCCTGACGAGAGTGGAAAAATCACCCGCATTGTTCCCCCTGTGGTATCTCACTGCATTCACGATAAAAGTGAGTAAAACTAATGGCATGTATTTTAGATTTGAATTATTTGAGGAAATTTTTCCTCTTTAATTATGAAAATTTTATAATTTACATCACATAGATTTATGCGTGTAATGATATTGAAGATTTGATGTTTTTGAATACAGTTATTTTTTATTATTGGTAGAATCTCTAAATGAGTTGATCATCTGTCGAGTTGACCGGTCGTCAGGGAAAGCTAAGGGAGGTGATGAAGTCTTCTTACTCTGTGAAAAAATCAACAGAGGTGAGATAATTGATAGACTTTTTTTGTCTTGTATTGAATAAAAAAAAAGCTAAGACATGGATTTGTACAAAAGTGTAAGGATGTAGAAAATTATTTCAAAATCTTTCCAGGAATGAGAAAAGTATTCCAATTTGTGTTACATGTATTTCAGTGGAACTGATGAAATATAAAACTATATGTTACAATATTTTCCTGTTTCAGATGACATTGTTGTGAGATTTTATGAGGAGACGGAATTCGGTGAATGCCTCTGGGAAGATTTCGCCGACTTCAGCACAAACGACATCCACAGACAGGTACTAAAAAACTCCAAGGTCCACCATTAAAAAAATCAGAACAGGCATAAAAACAAGTCTGTCAGTGAAGGGAACACTGCTGTAAATTTTGGTGTTTGAGACTCTGATGATGGCAGAAATCCAGTTGTAACCAGGTTCTGATCTTATTTAAAGATTTTGAAACAAAGAACTAGAGCCACGGGACCCAAGTTTTGTGATAACTTGACCTGGACCTAATTAAATGATCTTTGTATTCAAAGAATTGTCAGAGTTTTGATATCTCTTCAGGAAGTCTGAATTTCCTCATTTCGAATTACTGACTTTTTTTTTTGGCAGTGTGCTATTGTGTTCTGTACTCCACCCTATAAAGATACAAGTTTTGATATTATCTTGTGAAATCTCTGGGAAGTCTTCCTCATTTTGAATTAAATGTATACTTTTTTTCTTGCAGTATGCCATTGTGTTCCGTACTCCGCCTTACAAAGATACAATGATCACGAGACCAAAGGAAGTTAAGATGCAACTCAAACGCAACAATGAGCCAGAAACCAGTGACCCCATCCCCTTCATTTACATGCCTGAAGATCCAGGTAGATTTTTAATTGTCATCCATCTTTACTTACAATTAGGTTTCAGCAATAAATTAAACACATGTACTACATGTAAACGTATAAATTTTACCTCACTATGTAGTAATATTACATGTAATTTAGTTTCTCTGCTTACATGAATATGTACATTTTGATACACACACTTTTCAAGGAATCGATAGCCTGATCAGGTCAAAACCAACATAAAGACTATTCTAATGGATTGACATACCTGTTCATTTTTATGTGATTTACATGTATATTTTAACAAATTGGTTTTCATGGTCATTGTGCTATTGAATGGTGGCATAAAGAAATAAAAATATTATATTTATTAGACTGCATACAAAAACGTTTTTCACTATACTCTGTAGACTATGCTGCATTTCGCCAAATATAGACCTTATCCAGTATTTATACATGATGCTTGATATAAAAGTAAATGGTTACTGCAGTGATCCTAATCATAATACCTGTATTGTTATAACAGATCCTGACAGAATCATGGAGAAAAGAAAGAGAAAGGCTGATCAGCTGAAGAACTGGGGCTTTGATGGTGAGTTCTGTCTCCATTTTACCCAATACCTTATCACTGATACATAAATTTTATTCCTCATCACAACTGTATCTCAAATTCTGTTTTATATTTTGAGTCCATTGGTCATTCCGTGGTGAGCAGAGTTGAGATCATTTCAGAAGTGCTTTATCTTTATTTCAGTGAATGTGTCTGGAGATGACCTTAAACAGAGACTCAAACTGAAGGCCACAAAGTCAAGGATCAAGCAAGAAGGTAATATTTCTGAATCGTCTTTTTACGATGGAAATATCCGTGGTAATCTATGATAAATTACTGTATACAGGGTTATTTTTGCCCCGTGTTATTTTCGTCTTTTCATACTTGCAAACAATCTAGCCCCGTTTTAAATTCGCCCGATCATAGTTTTGTTTAAGAAATTATACTGTATTATTTGAATTCGCCCCGTTTTAGATTTGCTCAAATGAGGATAGGGTGAAAGGGGCGAAAATAAAACGGGGGCGAAAATTACCCTGTATACAGTATTAAATCTTCTACATGCATGCACACAGACAAATTTTAGGTGTTTTAAAATAAAGTTGATAAGCCCAGTTGATCCTGATAATCTATACAATTTTATCTTTATTTGATATTCTTTATGTTCTCTCTATGTAGCTCCTGAGGTGCCAGGTTACAGCATGGAGAACATTCTGGGCGCTGGAGCTCATCAAATGACAGCAACTTCCAGCGTCACGACAACTCTTACCAAGGAAGGAACATCCCTCAATGTCCGAACTCTGGACAACACAACGATGGGCAGCGTGACCATTACCCCCACGGACAGCGTACGACAACAGCTGGCAAACCTTCCCGATGACGTCCAAAACAAACTGCTTCAGATCATCGCCAATCGTAAACTCCAGGAAGAGGCCTCCAGCAGAATGAACCAGGGCACAATGGACTCTAAAGACACAAACGCATTTCTTCAGTCTCTAATCGGTGGGGGCGTCCCCTTGCCCCAGACCTCTAACCCCGCCCAAACTCCCGCCCAGAATATCATGCTGCCCAGCGGCCCCGCCATGCCTCAGAATCCCGGTATGGAACAGGACAATGTAGACTTAATGTTTCAGGCTTATCTTGGTGACCAGGAACAAAACATGTCCTTTGACAGCTTCGGTTGTAACATTGGAAACGATATGAACTTTGACCCTAATGTGGCAGCCATGATTAATGTATCAAGTGAACAAGGGGGCATGGACGAGACAAGGGCAGCTGTGCATTCACTGAATCAGTCCTGAGACCCCCCTGTCAACAGGGTTAGGCATTGTGTAATTTACTGCTATGTGTTAATGCGGGTAGTGACTGGTTTTTCCTCACAGTATGTCAGCTTTTTGTGTGAAAATCTGTGTTTGATGGGGAAAACATCCAAGCAGGAGTGAGACCACCCAACAAAAGCATTCCCAGCAGAATTAAAATAACCTAGTCAGCGGGAATATTCCTAAAAATAGGTCAGTAGACAATGGAGATTTAAATATACCCGATTACAAGTACACCTGAGACATGCCTGAGCTGGCCGTCACATAGTGGAAGTGGAAATATACAAACCAGGAAGTAGAACCACCCACTCAGTGCTCCAGGAAGTGAAACTTGACCTGTTGACCCCTCTGTTTATATTTAGATTGTGAAACTGAAAGTAAGGAGATTAGCCATATCTTTAAATAGATATTGGGAGTGTGTGGGAGTCATATATATATAAATATATAGTTGGAATGAGATGTGAGAGAAGATTGGAAAGTACCTAAATCTATTTTAATATACTACAAATATACGTGTACATACATGTGTACAGTGCTCACAATAATTCATAGTGCTCATAATGAAATGTTTAATATAGTTGTATATATAATTATATATATATGTGAATAAAATTCTTGTAAATAATTCCTCATAGTGCTCTCATAACATGCGATTGTGACATGGTTTGGTTGTCAGTACATGTATATTGTTTTAAGATGACTTTTTTTTTTGTAAATATATATTTACATTTTTTTAAATTGCATTTTTTATGTGTATAACTACAGCTTCATGTCAATAAAATCATAAACAGTTTCCTACATTTTTGTTTCATTCATAAGAAAATTTGATAGTGAATGACAAGAAAGTTTGGTATCTTTGATCAAGTGGAAAGAAAGTAAAAATTTGTCACAAAATTTTTGTCATAAATACAGTGTACCAGTATTACGGTACTTTGCAGAATTTTGGCCCCCCATATATTTTTATTCCCATTGTAAGGGTAATGATATTCACAATTTTTATACAAATTCCTATAATGTGATGTCTCTGCTACTCTCATCATGTTACAAATAGACATGCAAAGGGAAAATCAAAGGAAAATTTGCTCAAATGCAAGAATTTTATCTAAACTAGAAGTGAAAAGAGGTTCAGTTCAATTGAAATGGTCCTATATATAAATATGCTTTCTGCATCACAAACATATCATGGGAAAAGGTTTTTAAAAGATAAGTATAATTCTTTATTTCACAGTATTATACAATGATCTCACACAGTCGGACATACTCACACATCTGTATGCTTAATGTCGGAAATATTTAAAATTTTAAATCAAGGTACATATCTGTATACTTCATGTCAGAAATATTTAAATCAAAATTCCATTTTAATTTCAAGATTTTATATCAAGTTTTATTTTAAGGACACTCTCTACACCAGTGTAAAAAGTTTTTTCAACATTGAGAAAATTATTTTGAATAAAGGTGTAAATATTGAGCTTATCTATTTAATTTTTAGTATATTGTACGTGGCATTTACTCCCAGGAAACATGTTCAAACAGTTAACACATCACAGAAGCAGCAAATAGAAATCACTTTTCTTACTTCTGTGGAGAAAATACACATAAATAAAATGTTCCATTAATTTATCTTGGCCTTGGAAAATGTTAAGAATACTTGAATTGATTACAAATTGAATAATATGCTGTAAATTTCTTTTTCTTGAAATTTAGATCTAAGGGCAGATCACTCTTACTGCAGAAAAATACCAAAAAATCAGAACTCTTTAGTGTGCAGTGTAGAGAAAGATCTTCAGTATTTATATTTTTCTTTCACTTTAAGAAAATGGCAGATTATTTCTAAATGTCTACATTATGAATTGGCAGATACGGAAATCAAAGAAAAAATGGTACATGTACTTTAATACATCATTTATTGAAAAACAACATAAAAGAATTACATTGTCAGTTATTGCACACAATTTAAATTTCATATGTTGAATAATGATAAATTATGATATGAATATAAATAAATACAAGTATTCAAATATTTGCATACACGACTTTTTCCAACATAAAACTTTCATAAATTACACCTTTTCTACAGATCTCTTATAATGTGTGTAAATTTATTCACAAACTTTGCACTTGAAAGTGTACTAGATGTAATAATAGACAGAGGTGAAAGTCAAGTCTTAACCAAACTTTTAACATGTTTCATGAATAAATTCTGAATGATAGAAAACAACAGAAATTAAAATGCAGAAAAAAATTGTGATTCAATCAGGCAGAAATATGCATTTCAAAAAAAAATAAATAAAAACAAAAAAAAAAAAAAAATTAAGAGGAAAAAACATTTTTTACTAGTCTTTACATGGGTACTTAAGATTTTATTCCTCTAGGTTAGTGTAAATGCATCACTATAACAGCATATACTATTATTGTATTCTGGTGCACTTAATTTCTGAAAAAAAAAATAGGAATGAAAAAATGTCACACAATTAACAAAATATGGAGTAAAAAATGAATTCATTTACAGCACATGTATGCTTAAAAGAGTGTATTCCACATCAATTTTTATTATATCACATGCAACACAAATAGCACCTTAAATATCAATTTAAATAAAAATCTTAATCTTTTGCATTGACTAGTCCATTAACATTTTCAATCAACATGTTGACAATGTTAGTCATTAAGTGACAATATTCACAGACTACATATTGACATCAGTAAAAGAATCACAAAAGAGACATCACACTTGTACTTGGCCCTCGGTAAATTTTCTGCTCTCAGGTGTCTGTCACTTGTGGACATCCTGGAACAGAGCAGTGTAGAACTCCGACTCGGTCATCTTCAGATGATATTTCTCAACTGTCTCCTGGATTTTGATTTTCCTCCTAACATGGGGAGGCTGATACCTGTCGGTGGTGGATCAAATAGTTAGTAAAACAACCCACTATAGAGCAATAACATATCAGGTGTGGATCAAACAGTTAGAGAAACAACTCACTAAGAAGCTCTATATCTTGTCAGGGATGAATGAGAGAGTTAGCAAAACAACCCACTTTAGAGCAATAACTTATTGTGGGTGGATCAAAGAGTTAAAGAAACAACTAACTATAGAGCAATAATCTGTCTGGTGTGGATCAAAGAGTTAGAGAAACAACCCACTATACAGTAATAACCTGTCAGGCAAGGATCTAATCTAAAGAGCCATAGCCATAACCTGTCAGGTGAAGTCACAGAAATATATCAAAGAACTGGACAATGCAGTATCCTCACCAAATTGATCAATAAATAAATTTGAGAAAATAAATATATTCTGGCCTTTCTAAGCTTATTACCGGTACTTATACATGGTGCAAGATCAGAATCTACAAGGACTTACGAGTCACTCTCCAGCCGTTTTCGGCGCCCGATGTTGATGGCTGTTTGCCTGACCATAGAACCCAGTGTCCTCCTGCTGACCACCATACCGTCCACTAGAGGGATCGCCATGGAGATTCTGTAAACATAAACAATGTTTTTAATTTTACCGATGTTTTCTTGCATGTTAATTTTCTACAAATTCTGGTTCTATTCACTATTCTTGTGGAAAGAGGGGTTGGGGGAGTTCCAATATAATAAATCATGACTTGCCTTCCAGTGTTCCCTTCCATATGGATGCGGAACAGTCCGTTTTGTAGAGCGTGGATAAAGATGATGAAGATATCCTTATCTTGTCTCATAGAAGAACTGCTGGTGGCTGAGTACTGTTCTAGTCCAGTGCTGGTCATAGGCAGCAAATCTCCTGTATCAGACAAAACACCAATCCTTAACTAACTCTGTGTTGATCAAATCCTTTTTCTTGCTCATTGTTAAATGAACAGAGAATGTATGAAGTTTAGAAATTTTAAAGGCATATCAAACCTGTAGGGAAATTTTCATGGTCCTCAAAGTTTTCCAGCCAAACAACAAAGATTTTCGTATCGGGTCCAATGGTGACTGTAGAGGATCGTCCGAATCTACGTGCGCGGAAGGTCGGGGCATCATGAGGGGAGTTAGGACTGTCAGTTCCTTTACTGCGGGGCTCCCCCAGCTGTCTCTCCAGGGACAGGGTAGTGGGCTTAGTTACATCTCCATTTATATTGAGAGTGATCTGAGGTGACTTGTCTTAAAATACAAATGTGTAAGTGTACATTTATTTTATCTGGGTTACTAAGATGGTGTAACTTTTTGTTTTGATTTATATACACGGTTTAATGTACAAATATACATATATATGTGTGAATAATAAAACAAAAATAATCATCTAACAATCAAAAACTATGATATTATATTATATGAAGTTTTTCTTAAGTTATCTTACTGAAAAATATTCTTTTAGCTTCCTTTTTCCTAATCAATTGTAACATTAATTCAACAGCAAAATAGAAATTTAAGTACCTCCGTCGTTCTGCAGCCTGTTGAATGTGTCGAGGGAGGGAACAACAAAAGCTACTTCTGAGGACACGTCCGCCCAGTACAGGACCTGCTGCTGCCCGTCATAGATACTGCCACCAGTACCCACTGGAGGGGCATTGTCTACAACAGGAATCCTTCATTGAAATTTACATTTCTAATCCCTTTAAACAGGTTTTCTTACTTACAATAAAGCTCATATTTTGTGATTAGTGAGGAAAATATCATGAAACATTATCATAGAAAATCTATATAATTATGCCTGTTTGTTTTCATGTACGTAACTCTTTTATAGAAACAGCCAGACTCCGCTCAGGTGGGATCTCATCTAACTTGGATAAAATGATAACAAAAAATTGGACAAACCTGTAACCTTATTTCCATAATCTTTCAATTACTTTTATTGAAAGACTCTCTGTTGTTACTTTTCAATTACATGTACGTTTAATAACATGAGCTGTGACTCAGGATAATATATTTCCGACACAAATTTGTACACTTACCCTGGATATCTTCAGGTTGTGAGATTTTCCAGCTGGTACTAATGTGACCGGTCCACCCCGCATGTTTCTTGACATCCACAGGCCAACCCAGAGAGTGTAGAAACTCCAGGAACTGGATCTGAATGGTGTGTTGTGATCCCTACAAGTATAAAGAGTACACAGCAAGTTACATTGGAAAAGTTTTAATCTGACCCAATTTTTAAATCTAAAATGATTGCTTTCCAGACTTCACTTTTACTTTTATACAACATACTACAGAAAAATGAAAAACTGCTGACAAGCTTACCACATTGCGTAAAATATCTCGAGCCACTCGCTGGCCTGACTTGACATAAAACACATGAACCGTGTCATTGTCACGGGCCACAATTGTATCCAGCATCTCAAGGTCATTGGCAAGGCCGGGGTTTGTGGTATCCAAGGTAACCAAAGATGGAGGAAGGCTGGTATTGCTTTGTTCCTACAATAAATGACCCACAATTAAATTCAAAATATACATGTATATAAGAAATACATGTATGTATCATATGTACATGAACTATAAAAGCATGTTTTTATTGTCTTGGTATTGAACTTTGACCTCTGACCTTACCTTGAGAGCATCTAGTGACAAGAACCCATAGTGAGACAGAAAGAGACGGGCTGCCTGAAACTCCTCCGTAATCCTAAAGAAAATAAAGATTAAGTCAGCAAGGGGACAAAACTCTCTATCTCAATTTTACACTATTTATACTGATATAAAAATGACCTTAATGTCCTTGCAATAGGCTCTTGCATGAGCACACTGAATGATTACAATTGATGAACTTTGATGGAAATAAATACAAATGTTAACAAACTTACTTTGGAGGTTTACATTCTGTGTTTACAGACTTACTTAGGAGGTTGACATTCCGTGTTTACAGACTTACTTAGGAAGTTTACATTCCGTGTCTCAGTTTACAGACTTACTTAGGAGGTTTACATTCCGTGCCTCGGTTAACAGACTTACTTAGGAGGTTTACATTCCGTGCCTCGGTTTACAGACTGACTTTGGAGGTTTACATTCCCTGCCTCGGTTTACAGACTGACTTTGGATGTTTACATTCCGTGCTTCGGTTTACAGACTTACTTTGGAGGTTTACATTCCGTGCCTGGGTTTACAGACTTACTTTGGAGGTTTACATTTTGTGTCTTAGTTTACATACTTAGGAGGTTTACATTCCGTGTTTACAGACTTACTTAGGAGGTTTACATTCCGTGTCTCGGTTTACAGACTTACTTAGGAGGTTTACATTCCCTGTTTACAGACTTACTTTGGAGGTTTACATTCCATGTCTCGGTTTACAGACTAACTTAGGAGGTTTACATTCCGTGTCTCGGTTTACAGACTTACTTTGGAGGTTTACATTCCGTGCCTCAGTTTACAGACTTACTTTGGAGGTTTACATTCTGTGTTTACAGACTTACTTTGGAGGTTTACATTCTTTGGAGGTTTACATTTTGTATTTACAGACTTACTTTGGAGGTTTACATTCAGTGTCTCGGTTTACAGACTTACTTAGGTTTACATTTTGTGTCTCGGTTTACAGACTTACTTAGGAGGTTTACATTCTGTGTCTCGGTTTACAAACTTACTTTGGAGGTTTACATTCTGTGTCTCGGTTTACAGACTTACTTTGGAGGTTTACATTCCGTGTCTCGGTTGGGGAAGGACATTTTCTGCATCTCCTGCTGTTTTTTCTGACTAATCTGAGCCTCATACTGAGCCTGCTTCTCCATAAAGGACTTGAGTTTGTTAAGCTCGGGACGTTTCTCATCAGTCACCAGTGACTCCAGACTAGGAATGCTCTTGTCTCTACAAAATTAACTAAATTTACGAAAAAGAACTTCCTCTTTTATAGTTCAAATCATGCATCAAGAATTTGTGGTATCTCTGTTTTCCAAATGGATTTTTTTAAAAAGTTGTTCAAAAACAATTACTAGTATTAATGAAATGGGAAAGTCCTAAATTGATTACTCCTAAGCATTAGAATTCGGATTGAACCAAAACATCATAATTTTCCAAATATTTCAATACAAATTTTCAATGAAAATCTATTAATCTTTTCTTTAATAGATATATTCCACAAATATTAAAGAATATGTATATTTTGTCTCTTAAATCAAGACATCAAATCCATAGTTTGGACTGGTTTGACACATGCTTACAAAACTATCTGTGATGCTAATTTTGAGGAGATGAAAGAAATATGTGTGTTTGAGTGACAAGGATTACAACTATTGAGAGATTGGATTTTATCTTCATCATCAGAAAACTTCTTACGCTTTGGTCAGGGTCACCAAGTCAACGGATTCCGGGAAGTGACGAGGTTTGACATTGTGACGGGTCCCAACATTCTCAACAGGAAGAGGTCGTCCTGGGTCAACCAAATGGGACTTAGACGATCCCTAATAAATAACGTTAAAAAAAGCTTCAATAAAATGAAATTCAGTGTAAAATATCTTATGTAAGGTGAATTTATTTTAGTGTTAAATGTTGTCCATAAAAACTTACTCTCTTGACCCTGGGGGAGTGTCTAAGCTGCATGACCCAGGCATGTCGACCAAAGGGTCCCCTAATCAGGGCAGTCACTGTGGGTAAGGGGTCTGAAATTGTTTCATTTAAAAATAAATCAGAATATGCAAAGAGAAGCAAAAAGTAGTAATAGTTGACCAAATTACAGAGAAGATGCAAGATTTCCTAGTGAACTTTAATATACTGTAAACTAACTTTTATTCGCGATTACTTTATTTTGCGATTTAGCTAGTTTGCGACGATTAATTTTTCACGACTAAGCTTTTTTTTTTATCTGTTGTTAATAGAAACAAAGACTTTAAGGATCGGTTCACGGTGAGAAATATTGGCGATGATGAGGCTCTTGCAAAAATTTCTCGCACGCGAATAATAGTTGGTTTACAGTATATTGGTTTTACTGATATTAAATTGGTACCCTCTATATTTCCTAGAGGTTGTTCCAGCAGTCCCACAATGATGGAGTTTTCCAGGACGTAATATCTGAACGGTGACCCATGCTCAGGGAGACTACTGTTTCCTTTGGCGTACTTCAACAGAGATTTCTCATCCAGCAGCGAAAACAGGGACTCGGGGCCACAGGGAGGGGGGAATGCACCCTGAAATTAATTTATAAAAAAATATTTTAAAGTTGACATCATTCAAAGAGCAAACAAATAAAAGATGAAAAAAGTTCATAGAATTTTTTGAAAGTTGACATTATTCAAATAACAAACAAATAAAACAAGAAAGAACTTTATTGAAATTGTTTGAAAGAAAGTCTAAAAAAATTCTATTTTGAAGTGAAGACTGACCACGTGTTGTATGATACAGGTCAGTAACCCTTCTGCGGCCTCTTGGACTCGTTTGGATGCTGGTTGTCTCTGTTTGTCCTGTTTAAATTTTGGTGGGTCACTTGCTCGGTTCTGAAACACAAGTCAATGTTGTTTCAGGTAAAGAAAAAGGATTATCCATTTACTGGTACTACAAATGAGGTCTCAGGTGTATTTTTAAAAATCTAAAATGTATTTTTAAAAAAAATCTATTTAAAAAAATACAGAAAATAAAATGTTACTTGTTATACCATTAAAAACACACAAGTTAGCAAAATATCAATAACATATGTATTATTTTCTCATTAATATATTATGTTTTACAGATAGATGGATAAGTTTCTTTCAGACAATTGGAGTGTGTCTGGTTCACACCTTTAATCTTCTTTTGGGAAATGTCACACAAGACATCCAAAAAACAAAAATAATAACATTCTTAAATATTTGTTCAAAATTTCTTTTACCGAACTGTTGACCTTATCACCAGATGCTATTACATGTATCGTGAATGTATTTTGAACAACTTCTTTTCAATTAATTCCACCTTAAAATTTTCTTTTGATTGTTAAGCTAAACTTTCTGTTGTCTCAGTGCTAATATTTTTCATACTGGTTTTATAAAAAACCTAAAATTTATAATTAATTTTTAATGACATATTCTGACCTAGAAAATGAGACAAAAATATACTAGTAACATACTGTACATGTATATAATTTGGGGGTACATTTAGCGCAATAAATGGATAAGGAGTTGTTGGCATTATTATGAATTAGTGCTACACGTGTCCGTATAGTATATTGGACCGGTATTTGTAAATAATTTAATTTTGATTGTAACGCGTCATTTGATTGGATAAAAAATTAATCTAAATTGTATAATCTGGTTTGCTTACGTCACAATGACTTATGTCAAAATCGTATCAATCTGCTTGACGTTACGTTTAAAATATGAACAATTTGAAGGTGTTTTAAAATGAGAAATTGTCTTGTTTTATATTCTTAATGATTGAAAATTAAATTATGAGGAATGAATTAAATAGCAACCCAAATTATACAGCTGTAACCTGGGTTGGACCAGTTTACGCTTTTTTATAAACCGCTTCGCGGTTTATAAAGCGTAAACTGTCCCAACCCAGATTATGATTTAGATTGCTATTTAATTCATTCCTTAAATGATTTCATCTTTGTCTGTGCCAAAGTTGCTAAAATATGAAGCCCACTTTTTTGAGTTCACATAAAATATTAAGATTATGTCTTAGATGACTGTTTGAATCAAGTATAGACAACCTTCTGATAAATGTCAGAAAACACGGACCATGCTATAAGATTGATTCTACATGATGCAGATCTGATCTAGCTTAACAGGCATTACCTCACTAATCAACATATACTTCTATAGTAAAAATTAACTTCCAGCAATCATTTCCTTCTAAACCATTCCTTGTACAAGTTGACTAGCCTTCATAGTCATGCACATGCTTAGGGCGTTCAAGATTTCACATGCCTACTTTATATCAACCTAATATACGGATACTTTCCAGAAAGAGGGTGAGGATGGGTGGGTTTTTTGGGGGAGGGGATGTTCTGTGTATGTTTGATGTGTTTATATAAGAATTTTTTTTCCAAAGTTTCTTAAATCAGTAGACTATTTATTCAGAAAATTGGGTAATAAATTTGAATTTTTTACTTATCAATAGAATATTTAATGAAAACCTCAACATCATTGTATCAAAAAATAGGTAATTATCTGACATCATGCTACTATTGAGCCATGAATCAATGAATTCTTGCATATGATAAATTACTAAAAGTACTGATTAGCTTTGTTATTATTTCATAGTAAGTAAAATACAATATGAATGACATTTTATTCAATAAATTTATAGATATCATAATGCAATGCAATAGAAAATTTATATACTCAAATTCAACAAAGCTGATACCTTATAATATTTTTCTGTTCCCTTTCAAAATTTAAAGAGTGTCTTGTAAAATAAGGAACCCCCCTTCCCCCTTATAAGTTCTAACTACAGGGTGTAGTGTAGACTGTGAAGAGGTCAAGCTAAAGTTTTGCCATCTCTAAGCTTGTTTGCCTGGTGCATTGCACACAGAAGGTTTTATGAAGAGCTCTATTTAAAGTTACCACAGGCTTGCTTGTTTGGTGTATACATCACACAGAGAAAGTTTTATGAAGAGCTCTAGCTAAAGTTACCACCTCTAAGCTTGTTTGCTTGGTGTATCGCACAGAAAAGGTTTTATGGAACACTGATGGTACAGACTTGCTGCGTCCAATTTTCTATAAAGCAGGAAAAATGCACAGGAAAAAAATGTATTCATTTGTGTGTGGAAATCTAGGAAAGTGAACTAGATCAAATGCTTGCAAATCACTTCAATCTTAAAACTTTCATAAAGAATGCAATATTAGATAAAATATTATTAAAGCCAAAAATTAACACATGATGCAGTAATCAAAAATGCATATGCTCATTATGAAGAATGCAGTGCATTGTTTTTAGCATTACAGTGTATTATCTATTTATTGTTAGATTCACTGCAAACAATGATGCAATGTAGTAAAAAATGCTGGATCGAGTCGCACAAAGGCATTTTAATTTAAATGACAGTTAACAATACATTGTACCATGTTTATTTTTAATATCAATTTTGCACTAAATTAACTGTCAGTTAAATTTTTATACTTTTCATCCAACTGAATCCAGTTACATGTAATTACTTAGGCATGAATTGTGCAGAGAGTGAATAAATATCACCATGTTGATGATATAATATTAAAGCAATCCAATGAAGTACTCTGAAGAAGTGAATACATATGAATCAGCTTTACAAAAATTGATGTCGAAGCTAAGCGAAGAACTCAGCCAGAAGGCGCAGTATTAAAGGTAAACATCTAACTACAACCTGTACCTGAACTGATGGGGGAAATTTTGTTTCTTTTAATTGCACAGTCTGAATTTCGGGTTTCTGAAATAAACACATGCCTCATACATGTACCAAATTAATGGTGTCAGTTGGTAAGCATTGGACATTGTTATATTGCCAAGAAAAAGAAGTGCAAGGCTAGCATTTTTAATTCATAAAAGAAAATGTCAATATTTATCTCTTTCTCTAAATTTTCATCAGCTTGCGATTAAATTAATTTAGAATATAGTTTATAATCATTACAGTGTATTATCCAAGATCCAAGAATTTAGCAACATATTATAATGCAAGTCTGTCATTGCATGCATTAAATTAAGGAAAATATGCTTAAAGGACAAGTATTAACAGAAATCAAACACTAAAACAATTTACACAACAAATACGTCACATTTAACGGTCTACAAATAAATCCAACTTAGGGCACATGTGGTGTGCTGTACATAACAGTGCACATAACACAGACAACATTAGCTATGGTGACGTGACTTTTGATAATTACCTGTGACTTGGACCCTGAGATTCCGAGCTCTACGACTTCTAAGACAACATGGAGGCACTCCTTGTCATACAGCAGCCGACTGTGTTCCACCAGCCACAGTGTGAGGCATCGGAAGGCGGCGACTATCGTACTGTGGAGGTCCTTAGAGTGGGCCGGGGCAGGGCGATTACACTGCTGGACAATAAACTCACAGATCCACTTCACCGTACACTTACACATCATCAGATTGGGGGGGCTGATCACCAGTTTAGCCAGACCAGACAAGATCTCCATGGCCGCCAGGGCGCTGTTAAGGTCTGATTTCCATTGGGACATCAGGCGGTGACATATCAAGGCCACGGCTTCACCAAACAAACCGTATGCTGAATCTGTCAGAGAAAGAAAACACAACATATCAAGGCCGCGGCTTCACCGAACAAACCATACACTGAATCTGTGCACACACAGTCCTTACTATCATCAAAGTGATTACATCATAGTATATAGTTGAGAAAGCTCATATAGGCTTTGCCTGTTGTCCAATCTGTTTATGTGTAATTAAATAATAAAATATGTTCAAACTGATAAAATCATTAATCTCAAAAGTCTGCTTTACAAGAGGCCCATGGGCCACATCGCTCACCTGAGCACTAAGGGTAGGAAAAAGTAGAAAATGGCTTTTTATTGTAAAGTTTAAATCCAAAAGTAGTCCCATGACCAATCATGGATTTGCTAATTTTAGAGAATGATTTTTCAAGAATTTTCCTATATATATCTTTAAAAACCATTTTGGCCCAGCCCTACCCCTAGGGGTCAGGATTTGAACAAACTTGAATCTACACTACTTGAGCTTCTGAATTACTGTTTAAAGAATTTTCCTATATACTATGTAGTACACCTGAACATGAATCTGTCTTGAGAAGAAGATTTTTAAAGAATTTCCCTATATATTTCTATGTAAAAAGAAAACTACAAAACATATAAATATGATGAATTATGGCTTTGTCACAGAAGAAGATTTTTAAAAAATTTTCCTATATATTTCTATGTAAAACTTTGGTCGGCCATTTTGGCCCCGCCCTAATGAAACAAACGTGAGCATGCTCCCATATAAATATGATGAATTATGGCTTTGTCATTCTTGAGAAGAAGATTTTTAAGGATTTTCCTATATATTTCTATGTAAAACTTTGGTCGGCCATTTTGGCCCCGCCCTACCCCCGGGGGTCATGATTTGAACAAAGTTGAATCTACACTCCTGAGCATGCTCCCATATAAATATGATGAATTATGGCTTTGTCATTCTTGAGAAGAAGATTTTTAAAGATTTTTCCTATATATTTCTATGTAAAACTTTGGTCGGCCATTTTGGCCCCGCCCTACCCCCGGGGGTCATGATTTTAACAAACTTGAATCTTACTGAGCATGCTCCCATATAAATATTGAATTATGGCTTTGTCATTCTTGAGAAGAAGATTTTTAAAGATATATATTTCTATGTAGCCCTACCCCTGGGGGTCATGATTTGAACAAACTTGAAAAACCTGAGCATGTGATGAATTATGGCTTTGTCATTCTTGAGAAGAAGATTTTTAAAGATTTTTCCTATATACTATGTAAAACAGTCCTTATTGAACAAATCATACAAACATCTGCCAAAAGAGAAATTTTGGTTACAATGCACAAATAAAATATGTCACATTTACAATTTACAAAAATCCAACTTAGACAACACATACTGTACATAACAGTGCACACAAGACATACAGCGTTAGCTAAGGTTAGTTTAATTTTAACACTTAGAATAGAAGCTGTAGTACAAAACAAATATGTCACATTTACAATCAACAAAAATCCAACCCAGACAACACATACTGTACATAATAGTCCACACACATGCAGCATTAGCTATGGTTAGGTAAATTTTAACAGTTAGAAGAGAAGCTATCGGGGTACCTATGTCATGCGCTGAGTTTCCCAGTCTGTGATACGATCCCTCCTTAAAACTGGACTCTGAGGACGAAGTCTTCAGGCTCGCCTGACTGTTGTCTGAGAAGACTGTAGAGAGATCACACAAACGTTTTATTACTAGTACTTTATTACCTGATTCATGTTCAGCTGAACCTCTGTCATCAAGATGCTTTTCTTCTCATGTAAATGAAGTGTCAAGATTACTGAAGATTATGGATTTCTGAAACATGCCTTTCATAACTGGTAGATTTAATTGTAAATTTTGTTCATCACATGTTTTGTTGGAAGGTGAAGCACCGCAATTTATAGAAGCTTAACTACACATGAATATCACACAATGAACTTTGGACACTGATATATTAAGTGACATGAACTCTAAACATAAACATAGATACAGGAGAAACATGTACACCACACAGCAAACTCTGTACACAAATAGAGGAGTAATATTTACCAGGATTGTCGGAGTCCACACTGATCTCGTGCGGCTGAAAAGTTGTTTGCTCTGCTGCCTCACAAACGGCCATGTCCTCCACCAGTAACATCAAACCTCCTGTCAACCAAACACAAGTAAAAGTCAACAGCATTAACTTACAGGCTACTCAGTATTTACATTATAACTTAAAATTTAAATTCAAATCCATTCCATGTTATCTTCAGAATTTTTACAATACCCAGTAACATCTGTGTGTTGGTGGAGTCTGTCGTGGTCTTTAGAGCCCCTATAATCATGTCCAGGATCTTCCTCTTCAGAGATATAAAGGTAATGAGCTGTACCTCAGTGTCTGTGCTGGATACAATATCTGTAAAGAAAATGGATTCTTCAACCTATCTATATAAATACAGTGTACAGCCTAACAGGGTTCTCCACATTTGAAAATTTAACCAGGAGGAAGCTGCACAAAGGCTAAATGTGACCGAAAACGTGTTAGACTTCCTTACCCTCATTAATCAAAGATTGATTTTACACAATTTTTAAACTTAACCACTGCAACACCAAATGTTGAAATAACCAACACTTTTAAAAGCTAAAAAAAATTATGACTAAACTGAAATAAAAATGATTATTTATATTACTTCACAAATGTACCAATATTTGCCCCAAACTGTAGTTACCTTTTGAAGGAATTTAAAGAAAAACTTTTGAAACAGTAACCATGGCAATTTTATTCAGAAACTAAAAATTATAAGAATTGTTGAAGCCTGTTGTATGAAATGTTTTGTTTGAATATGACTAAATCTGATGAATGGGTAGTATTTCATTTTAAGCTCACACAAAAATGAACATTTGGACCAATGTCCCTTTTTCTAATGTTCTATTTTTCTAGAAATTGCATTTTTCACCAAGTTTACTCCTTTGTTTACTTCTCCACGTGTCCCAGTGCTAAAAATAGCACCACGCTACGTTTCATTAAAACTGGAAATAACTCTAAAACTAAGATGGCGATTGACACTTGTGTACATTTTATTAGAAAGATAATATAGTTAAAACTTTAAAATCAGACCATGAGAAATTGTTTAAATACAGAGGAATATGAAATTTTGAAAGTATCTTTTTCTCGCACAGAAACTTGAATCGCATGCATGACGATTATCATCGCGCCTCGTAATTGTCATCTTTTATAAACCCGTTATCTATTAATCATGTTGTGAACATGTTGAAGTCCCCAAAATTATTAATGGGCCACCATGGTTAAACCCCTTGTGGAGAACCCTGGTGTATAGTGATCATTTTGAAACTTGTTGAGCCATTTCACAATTTCCCCTAAAAATGTTTAGTTTCTTGATGTAAAGTAGTGGTAGGCAGTTGCCTCTTAGGACGAGGTCCCTCAAATGTAATGGACAGATGTACATAAAGTAGAGAGTTAAACTATTAGATATTTAGGTCCACGAGATGCGACAATGGGGGGGGGGGGGGGGGGGTGGTGGTACAGTACCTACGTCTACTAGTGAAGTCCTTGAGGGGTGAGGGGTATGTGGGCAGTACTTATTTCAAAGGTGAGACGGTGGGAAGGGAATGAGTTGGCAGTACCTAACTCTGAGCGAGGTCAGAGGAGAGAAGTGGGAGCATTAGTATTACTTACCTCTGATGGTGAGATCTTTGAAGTGGAGAGATGGGGGTGGGGGGTTAGTACTTACCTCTGATGGTGAGGTCTTTGAAGTGGAGGGGTAGACAGAGGGTGGTCAACAGCAGGTTAATACAGGCCCTCTGTAGATCTACATTCTTAAAGTCTATTGAACTACTGGTGTCATTCAACCTGAAATAAAAACAATTCTGTGAATACAAACTAAAACATATTTCAAAGAATTTAGATGGAATTCTTTAAATGTGTTTTTTTCACATACTGAATTGCCTTCTAAAATCAAATGGAATTCAGAAAGTTTGTTTTTATCACAATTGCTCTTGATATAACTAGATGTCATTGAGCAACCAGATTAATATTAAATTTTCTAGTTGTTCAGAAAAGATGATGAAATTAGAGTATGATACAGAACTTACTTGTATTTATTAGGGAGATCATTAAGCACTAACTGAATAGCATCCAATATGTGTGGGAGTAATATCTGCACTCCATCTAAGTCCACTCGTAAAATATCACAGCTATTAAAAAGAACACTGGCTAGCACTTGTCCACTCATATACTGAAACCAAACAAATATCACAGTATAACAAAATCAGTCAAAACTACATTGAAATTCAGTGTAAAGTTCGTATCTTGAACATGGATATCTCAAATACAATGGATATGCTTAAATCAGTGAAAACAATATTGAAATCAAGTTGAAGTTCGGTATCTTGTACATGGATATCTTGAATACCATAGATATGTCAAAGTGTGCTGGAAGTCCTAACCACATTTTCATTATGCATGTACATGTATATTTAACATCATTACCTCCAAATTATAAATGTGTAAAGTTTTTTCTTTGGCCTTTCAAGTTTGAAAAATAACGAGAATTGATAATAATTCTCGATCAGTTTAGATCTGAATCATAGAGGTTCATCACATAAATATACAAAATATAAAGAGAGACTATAACTGATTTGTTCAAAAGCTTAGTAAAATTACCATATCAATAAGCTTACCTCTTCTGAGGTCTGTAGACCATAATACATGGCTAGATAGAATCTAGAGTAGTACACTGGCAGGATGCTCTCCCCTGTTTTATGTGCACAGAAGATTCTACAGAGTGTCCCCAGGGCCTCAGCACGCCCATTCTCGTACGTGTTGTCGCACACCATAATAGAGTCTGAGTGGAAGTCTAACGACACGGAATTCCTACGTGAGTCTGTCAGAGAACTGGACCGCCGCTCAGAGTGGATAGAACCTGAGGAAAGGTTCATATGAACTTGTAAAATATGTATCCTTAAATCAAATCATGACTGTTAACAATATACAATAATCAAATACTTAATTATAAGTACTTTAAATATATTTTTGGTCTCGTCATAACTGTTAACATTTACTCTGATGTAAAGTTATTAATTTAATGTCAACAGAACTTAAATTTCAATTAACATTCCTCCCCTTGTCACTTCCTGTGTGGTTTAATCACAACACCTGCTTCTGAAATGAGGTTTGTAGTGGAGAAGGTGATTAAAGCGCATGACCCACATAAATGTAGGAATAAATGGAAGCCATTCTAGACAACAAGACAGAATCCTTCTACAATGAGAAATGTGTTCTGTACCTTGTTCTGGCACTATTTTGTGGCAGTTGTGAAATTTGACCCTGGCTAGAGCTGCGTCAAACAACCAGGCCCCAAACAGATGAAGAATACTGTCACACCTGGGGCGCGTGGGGGCCAAGGACTGCCGGGGCTCGTAGAAGATCAGGCTGGACAGCATCGGGGTCGAGGACTTCGGCGCAGTCACTGAGGTGTTGGCTGCTTTTGAGCTTCCTGTAAAGTAATTAAATAAAGTATTAACTTGGAGAACAGTCAATCTACCTTGTGTTACTTTTTATTCCATTATAAACAAGTGTATTTACCATTTACCTACATGTACCTTTAGTCATTTATGGTTACCTTGATTTATTCACAATGAAAATGTATCTATTAAATGACTCCTTCATGAAAAGTATTCACAAGTACATATAATTGCTGTTCAGTACAGTACTGCAAGGAACTGCCTTTGACTGCAATGGATTGCACATCATGTAAATCACACAACCTGACAAATTTTGTGCCTACCTTTGTTTGACGAGCTGAATACAGATATGGGTCGGCCGGACTTCCTCTGACCCGGGGGTGTGGACGGGATGTTCAGTTTACTGCTACTGGTGGACACCACCTGATCCTCATACCTGTTCTGGGTCTGGGGAATACCTGAGAAAGAAACATTCAATTATTGGGAAAAGCTCATCATGTACAGATGTACATCACAAATTGATAAAATCATAATGTAACGTTAGAATATGGTAAAATTAGCAATTTTTTGTCTACATTGATTTTTGTCCTTTTACAATTTCTGTGTTAAAACTGGAAAACAAAATTGCATTAAGGGTAAACCTAATGCATGTGTATTTAAGGAATCAACAATGATGCACAAAATAATGTATTAATTACAAAACCATAACCATACATGTCTTAGTTAACTAATACACATACAAGTATAATCAATGGAACATAGCTATAGAATTGTTCTAACCTAGGAAGGCATTGACCATCACAGATACGCCTTTCATGGCCTTGTAGAAAATAATCGGCAGTTTCTGTAGACACTCGTGCTGCGTAGGATCTATCAACGTGTCGCTGTTCATGGCGGCCTGCATGAATTTGTGGGTTTTCCCGATGATCTCAGGGCGACACATGTCTACAGGATTTTGGATGATGTGGAGAAATCTGAACCAGCACTGAGCGATACAGTCGTAGGTCATGGCAGAGGGTATCAGGAGGGCCTCCTCATCAGCTGTAACAGAAAGGTGTCAAATTATAAAAAGGTACATACTTTGAAGCATGCATGCCATAACATATGTAAGTCATTAATTATACACAAATGCTAAAATACATATACATGTATAGTCAAACTTTACTATCTCAAACTCCATGGGATCAAACAGAGATATCTGAGAATTCAAGATAATGCAGGGTAAAATACTTTTAAAAAATATTTGGGGATTTCCTAAACAATTTTGAGCTGTAAATTAAATAACACACAAATATTCTATTTCAAAAGTTTGAGAAATGACCCTAACATGAGAATTAAAGTATCATTGATCATGTTGATACTGTCAAGTTATCTCATTTGACCATTAAAACTTACTGAGTGTGAGTTTGGGGTAGTCCGGCCCCTGGGTGAAGCCCAGTACGTGAGAGGTCAGGGCGTGGTTTACTTTATGCCACTGCACCACCAGGGACTCGTGGTGCCTCCAGCTGATACACATGGCGCGGAATGTCTTCCAGAGGGAGGGGGAGGGGAAACATTTGTGACAGGCCAGGAGCCAGATCTCAAATAGGACACTGAGGACTCGCTCACACAGCTGGTCACCGATATCATCTGGTTATAAAGAAATATAACAAGCTGTTAGTGTATATATCACAATAATGAAATATAACTGGCAATTACAATTATATTGCTCAAAAAGAGGTTCTGAGGAAAACTTTTTTTTGCACTTTCACACTTGCAAATAATTTTGCCTCATTTAAAATTTGCCCTTTCACAATTCTGTTTCAGAAATTAGACTGTGTTTTTTGAATCTGCCCGGTCTTCAGTTTGTCCACCAATTAGAGGGGCAAATGAAATCAGGTCAAACTTTTACACTACAGTATACAGTAGGTCACTCAAACAAGCATGACTTTTCCAATGCCAATTAATTTCTCTATAGATGTATCAAACTCTTATTATTTTGTTTTAAAGCATAAATATAAGATAAACCAGTGAATGCGCAGAATGGTGAGGGAATCACAACAAATTAATCATAAATATTTCACTTGGTACCACAAGGCTACAGGAAAACATGGACAGTCAAAGAATACACTGCTTACCCCAAAGAATGTCAGTGTTAGCAAAATTAAGGTTAAGCTGCATACAGATTGAACGTAATTTGGGAATTTCATCATTTAATGTCCTAGTAACATGACAGGAAAGCAGACAATATACTGAGTATGTATATGTTCTTAGAAGAATCACTGATGCAGGTTTACTTTACTTCTAGAATTCTAAGTGGACCAGTCATGCCAAAAATATAGGTCAAATGCAGCATCAATGCAAATTTAGTCAAGATTAGGTCCTGTTTTCAAAACTTGACCCCCAAACCCAAAGAGTTGACAACAGATGTAAACAGATAAGGTTTTACAACAAAGTCATCTCCACTGTAAAAACAATAGGGTTGCACCATATAAAATGACAAATATTGTATATCGTCTTATCAAATCAAGTAATTCTACTTAATTGGCATTAACCTTAACAAATAAAATCTCGCTAAATCTTTATAATTATATTTGCACAGAAGCAAAGTAAGCCTTCCTGAATACAGAGATAAAGTAAATGAATATTGATGAAAGATAGCACATGATTCTTATAAAAATGAAAGCAATTCTGCAGCTACAAGCTAAAAATATTCATAGTTTTGTTTTTTTTTTCACAACATTCTGCAGTATATGTAATTACAAGCTTGGTGGTGTTAAATTTAATCTGTCTGTTAATTTGCATCAAAAGTTTGTAAGAACTGATTATAAACTAAGAAAACAAGGAATTATTAGAGTTGTTAACAAAATAAGCAAGGCACACTTTTGACTTATTCACTCAACCTTTTCATTCACTTGACCTTTCCTCCATTTCATCTGTACATACAGGTATATGACTTTGTCTATTTGTAGCATAAATGCAATCATTTGCTACACTGGATTTCATTAGACTTTCATTGACAAAGCTAATACTTTTCCTGAGTTTAATCAGCATTCAAGACAGAAAATGTTTTTAGCTCTCTTAATAGACAACGTACTATCTGGATAAACTAATAGGGCAGAATAAAACCACCATAATTTATAGCACTGTCTAAAATAACTGACAGGGAATTAATACAAATTAATTAATATGATGAGACAACTAAACATAGTGTTTTGTTATTTTCAGATAAAAATTTGCTTTTAAACCAATAATTTATAAGCACTTTCCCCAAGGTAAGCAGAAAATAACAGCAACAAAATGCAGATATCGGTAAAAGCAAAGTATAAAATCAAAACATGAAATATACATGTACCTGTAAAAAATACAAGAAGTGAAATTTACATGTATCCGATTTAGTCAGTTGTTACGAGAAACAAATCTTCATTTATCCCTTAATTAATTTCTATTTCTTCTAGTACTGTAAATCATTTTTTATTCGCGAGAACTTTATTTTCGCGTAATTACGCGATACGGTATGGTCGCGAAAATTTCATTCTCGGGTATAGTATAATTCCTTAAGATTATATAGAGCAATGATTCCCATTATTCAACCAATTTAAAATTTTTATATTTGCTATTTTGAATTAGAAATCATTATTTTTCTGAAGTATATATCTTTAAAAAAAATTATTTGGTGATTTTCCACCAAATATTTCTGCAAAAATGGTAAGTGATCTACAGGCCTATCGTATATATAGAGCAATGACCACTATTCGTGAAAATTTTGTCTCGTTAATGAAGAGTCAATGACTATCTCTCGAAAATAAGGTGTTGCAAAAATTAAGTGATCTACAGTATATATTCTATTTAGAAACCACAATTAAAATCTTAATATTAATCATACTATAAATAATTGATTTAAAGTTTAATTTTCAAAATAAACCTCTTAGACTAATGATTTTGAAAAGTGTTCAACAAAACTTAAAGGAATGCATTCATTTTGAAGAATTTTTTTTATTATCTAGTGTGCTATAGCATTTTGTAATGTTTATTAATTTATTTATATATTGTATATACATGTATATCATGTATATATTGCAAGTGCTTGTTGCTAAATCATTTTGATAGAGCAAATGATGTAAGCTGTACTATATAAATGCATACATGTTAAAATTGCAATTTTTCAGAAGCATGTTTTATTTATGGTCACTTAAATATGGGTGACATATTTAATTATACTTGTACGTACATAATATTGATTTGTATGTATTGTGATTTTACGTGTTTTCAAATTCGTTATTTGCTGTTAGTTTAAATCCAAACTGAGTGCTTTAATTGGCTAGCCAATCCAAAAGGTCTAAAAGTGTGTGAGAGTTTTGTGTGCTGAAATGAATCACCATACACACCAAAAATGTACAGAAAACTTACATGAACTTAATCCCGAATCGTCTGCATTAACAAAAAGATAAGCATGCATGTCAGTCATCTCCAATGTAAACAATGCATTAACATTAAGCCGAGAGTTCAAAGGTCAGCCAACGCGTGCCTTATAGTCAGGCGTGACTGTGAAAAAAGATTGCCATCAAAAATTGAAGCAGAATTGAAGATTCTTGTGTCAACAAAAACAAAGAATGGAACTTGTTAGTGAATTAACAGTTAACAGATTGAACAGATGAAATAAATGTTGCAATATAGTAAATAAAAATTTTTGAAAGAGTTATTATCTGGAAGGGAGCAAAGTGTTTTAAATAAAAGAAATTGGTTTCTTTTAAAAATGCAGCATCTCATGAAAGAATGGGAAATAATGTCAAATTACAGGCATTTAATTCACATGATTGACAGTGAATTAAACTAAAAACTTTAAAATAGAAATGACAGCAAAGTTGAACATACATGTACATTTAACTATAAAAGTTAGTGGAGACAAATATTTTAAAGTATGATTATGTATTCATTGTCTATCTAATAATTTTAAATACACTGCAATATGTGTTGCTTTCTGCATACTGGAACAAACTATAGGACTAAACATGAATGTCAAAATAAAAATCAATTTAAGCCTACAGCACTTCTTAACTTCAGGGCAAAATGAGGAGAAATTATCAAAAGTTTGTCTAGAATTCAATGTATAGCTGCATTGAAATGTTATGGTACCATATCATTTATATCATATGGTATCATACTATTCGATCCTTAATGGTACAAACCTGATCTACTACTACTAATAATAATCAAGCTGTTTTATAATTCGATCAGTACTACTCATATCTTAAGATACATACAGATAATAAATATACATGTAATATACAAGAATTTTACTACTGTATATAATTAGATTTATAATCTACAACAGACTACTAAGAAGTTAGGAAAGACCCACAATCACCAAATCATGACAATCTAAAGTACATTCATAAAAAATTCAAGTTTCTTTGCATGTATAGGTATAAAATATTAACATAGCAGATAGCTACAAACATGAATGTGCTTATTAAAAACATTATTTGTCTTGAATAAAAGGATTTATCAACATATAAGAGTATTCCCCCTTTACCTTTTTCTAACGGTGGTGACAATAAGCTGTCATTGGCTGCCAACAGGAACTTCAGCAATGTTTCCCATGATTCCCTAGACAACATGGTGGATTCCTTAGCGATGGCCTGGATTTGTCTCAGAACGCGGTGACAGAAGACTGCTTGCTTCCTTACACTGTCAACATCTGGCAAAGAGATTAGGATCCATTATGAATTACACAATTTTTTTTCCTTTTTCAAAGTACTAACATTTGCAAAATATTTTATCTCAATATCTCAAACTCATGGATATCTCAGAGTTTTTACCAGAGGGCTGTTCAACAGAGTGAGTGCTTGCAAACATTTCTTTTGGAGGTCTCAAGAATTTTGGCAAACGCTCGCAAACTTTTGCTCTGTTGAACAGGCCCCTGGTTCCATCCAGTTCGAGATAATGAGATTAGACTGTATTATCTGTAAATCTCTCTATTAATGTTAAACACTAATATTCATTGTATATGTACACCTGGATATCAGGCATTCAAAAAATTGACACCATGGCTATCACAAAGTCAATTTAAAATCCCGATCACTTTTTCTTTTATCAATATCTCAAACTCATGGATATCTACAAGTTTTTACTTGGTTCAAAGAAGTTCAAAATAATGAGATTTCACTACAGTATATCATCTGTAATATCAATGAGATTTGACTGGATTATCTGTAAATCTCTCTTGTATATACCTGACCCTGGTCGAGGTACAAATAGATTAAGGAGATGGTGAATCATGTCCTGTATGTAGGGATCAGGGTCATCCTTGAGGGGCTGGGGGACGGACTCCTGGTGAGGGGAGGGGGGCATACAGGCTGAGAGCCAGATACAGTACACATTGACACACTCCTTAATGGTGTCCAACTCTGTCAGTGGAAGACTCAGGCCATAACACAGCACCTGAAAATATAGGTCATAATTAATAGTTCATGTAGGAATCCATTGTAAAAAGTTAGATAAAACTAGCCATCTGATAAAGTTGAACTTAGAATCTTGAACATTGATATCTTGAATATCACAGATACATATCTCAAAGTGATTTGGAATTCGCAACCTTTTATACCCTTTACTCTTTCAGTATTTTACCCTTTTAATTTGATAATCGGAAAACCTTAGGTATATCCAATATTTTTACTTGTTTCAATCAAGTTTGAGATAACGAGGTTTGACTGTACTTATACTTATAAATACCCAAGCAAAGAATACCATTTTATGATTTACTTACTTCCATGGTCCATTTGACCTCCTTGTCAGAATCAAGCTGACAGGGTTCATGGTTGTTGGCAGCGATGCTGAGGCTGGTTACAATGTGTTTCACCACCGAGGTAGCGACAGTGGTACCGACTGAAGCTGGGAATTTGTGGAGGACGCTCTGGTTTGCTTTGTCACACTGAATCTCATCCTGGAGGGAGGACCACTCAGAATACATGGTCAAACCTCCCCTAATGTTCTACACGGTCCACAACATTACTCTCTCACATTTGTCAAACTATTTGAACTGTCATCTGAAATAATGCAATAAAAGTTTAACTGTGTCGAAAAAATATATCAAGTTTTTCTCAACTAATTTACAAAGCCTTAAAATTAATAAAATATGCAATGTACATGGTGTCTATTAAATTCTATGACCATCTGCATAAAAGCGTTATGTCATGGAACAAAATACAGAATAAAACTTGACAGAGGACAGAGGAAATTATGGTTACTGTATACAATCAGCAAAATAAAATTTCTATAGCCCCTTTTCAATCTTTCATTGCTTTTTGTATCTACCATTTGATAAATATCTGCTAATTTAACAGGAAATCTGGTGTCAGGACATTTACGATTTCTTCAAAACATGAAAAATTACTAGTACATCCTATCCGTCTGAAAATTTTTAGTAAAACCAAAACTTCCGGATAGAGGGCGTTCTCATCCAATATGGCTGCGCCCATGAATGGAAAAGTAAGTTGCTGAGGAAAAAAATCTTTGATTACACTTATCGTTCTTTAACATGTCAAAATATGCGTCACCTATGATATAGTCTTACGAATGAGAGAAATATCGTGGATGTAGGGATGTGGACAAGCATCTTTCTATCACTATCAGGCGATGTTTCTGTTTGTCTACAAAAACTAAAACCTTGCCCATAACTTTTGATTAGTTGGAGTAGCTGCAGATCTGTAGCTCTCCGAAAATTATATATTGATAGACCGGAGAGCTACAGAGCCACCCATTGAAAAAACTGTATATTTATTGCGCACAAAAAAATGCGCTCGGTTCTCGATTTTTTTCTCCATGTTTTTAAAATTGTAACCTCAAAATATTACTAACCGTGTGTTCCTAACATATTTTTTGACTCTTTCCACAACAAAACATTCCTCATAATTGTTGTTAATAGTCCTCCTAGCCCTGATATTGCAATCATCGAACATTTCGCTTGTTTATACTGCCATTTTGGTTTCAAAGATAATTCGGTCCAATATGCTTCGTTCAGACGTCAACTACGAGAGAACTTGATAAAGGAGAGAGGAATTTTTTGAAATCTTCCATTTTTGCAATTGAGGTAAGAATTTGGAAGAATTAATAAAAAATCGAGCGCACTTTTTTGTGCGCAATAAATATACAGTTTTTTCAATGGGTGGCACTGTAGCTCTCCGGTCTATCAATAATTTTTTTTTCTGAGAGCTACAGATCTGCAGCTATAGTTGGAGCAGAGAAATAATTAATGTTATTTATGTCTCCGGTTGAAGGTATGGGCCAGTATAACACCGACCCTGGTGTTTAAACGACAATAAAAATTTCAAAATTTCACCAAACATTAACCTTGGGCAATAACTTTTGAACAGATGCTGCTAGAGATTTTATGATTTATGTGCATTTTTGGTTACACTTTCCTTGAGTACAAGTTTATCTTTTTAAAAAGATAAGTGAGCTAGCGCCTTAGCAAATTTTAAACACAGAAAGGAAGGTCCATGATCGTCTAAGCACAACCCAGTTTGGTTGTGCATAGACGTAAAAAAAAAATCTCCCTTGTCTTTGTTTAGAACAATCAGATAATGACTCGGACTTTTCCGTCAGAAAAAAGAGATAAAATTTGAAGTATTACAATTAAATAGTTATCTTTAAAGTATAAGCTACAGAATAAATAAACATAGTTATTTCATGATACAAAAAAATTGTTATCGTACGGTCTATCTATAGTAGTTTTCCCAGAATGCACGACCGTGAAGCCGAGCATGTGTATTCAAGGAATTTGGATTAACGTAGTTGCTAGCACTCGAGAGCACTAGAAATTCAAAATTTTTACCCTTAGACCTTGTTCTTAGAGTTTGACCTACTTTAAAAGAAAACTTTAACCTTGACACAAGAAATACACATCTAAACAACCTGACTCACCACCTTAATTATTCTCAGTCTGTATGATAATTTAGTGTCTCTGCATGTTGACAGTTTTTCAGTACATGGTTCTGTGTAATCATTTAGTTTCTCTGTTGATAGATTTTCAGTACATGATCCTTTGTAATAATCTCTGTTGACTGTTTTTCAGTACATTATTTTTTGTGATTATTTAGTATCTCTGTGGACAGTTTTTCAGTACAGATCCAGCAGAGATTAAGGACATAGTCCTCCTCCTGACCCAGAATGGACTTTGTCCTCGCTGTGTCCTCCGGTTCCTGGGAGAGGGGGATACTGCAGTGTTCAGAGCCTCCAACCAGGTAATCATGTCTATATACCGAATTTTCCATCCCCCTTATTTTACTGACATTGTGAGGTATAATTTTATGAAGATACCAGTATAATGTTTTATATATTTTATATTAAGTGGTAGATCATCTTTTTAAAACTAGCCATCCATTGATCATAACATAAACTGCATGCTTTGTAAATCAACAGAAAAAACTGACTTATCACTATACCTTATTGGTTCCCCTTAGGAATTGACCCAGAAAGTAATATCATTGACAGATGGTCAGGAGGATCTATTTACCTCCCTTCCGTGTCCTGCCTGTCTGGGAATTCTCCAGGTGTACCTAGAGGAAGAGTTTCTTAACAGAGTAAGTGAACAAATATTAAACAGATCTTAGTAAACTTTTAATTTTTGTATTTAGTACCTATATGAACTGTCTATAAATTCTACTTTGCTGTATTTTACAGATTGTGGAGACAGTGAAATCCAGTGATCATCAGTTCAAGACATTCATTTGTTCACTGACTACACCAGTGTGTTCACTTCTTAGAGAGGTATGTAACTGAAGATCAAGATATGTATTTAATGTATATATCTTCTTTTATAGATTTAAAGGATTTCATTTACATATACATGTAATTTGTATATATTATGCAACAGGAAAAAGTTGTTTTAACTTGTTTCATTATAAAACCTCTATCTTTTGTTTTAGCATGCTTTCCTTCTGATGCTAAATGAAAAGTTTAAGTGAGTACATTTTACCTGGCCATTTCCAAATTCTCCATCATTGTGTCCATTCCATTATCCCTGATTGTGATATGAGGCTTGGATTACTTATAAGAACTATGTGTCTGTTTTCAGATCTCTGTATGAGTGTAAGTTGATAGAGGACATAGCGTCAGTTAAGGATGTATGGAAATGGAGGAGTGGTCCTATTTTAGCAGCGGCTCTAAATGCACCTTTTGAATTCAAGGTTAATTTTACATTATCACTTAACTGTCTGTTTGTATTACAGGGATTGAATAGTAACAGATACAATTAAAAAACACAATGCATGTACTTACTGTAAAGATTAAAATTTTACATACAGAAAGTATTTGTAAAGTAATGGTTTGAATTGTGCATTTTAAATACTGAATGATTGAGCAGTTTCTTTTTCTTTGGAGAGGTCCATTTTGAAGTATATATAGAACTTTCCCGAACTTTGTTGCACATGTATTAAGGATGCACACTACCAAAACATTTGTGTAGTGTGCAACTTTGCATTACTTTAGGGATAAAAATTGAGGTGAGCTCTGTAACATTTGATTAGGCCCCAAAAAATCAATCCATAGTTTCTCAGGCACCGCCCGCATCAGTTCAAAAACGGCCGCATTGATCAATTTTATTGACATATTGAAAAGGGAAATAACTGAATTTTCTATTTTTCCAAGTTGAAAAAGTAAATCGAGTTATTCCCCTTTTCATAAATGCTAAGAAAGATGTTTTTAGTCCTTCTAAATCCAAAGCATTTTATCGGTTGACTTTTAAATAAATATTTGTAATAACATTATTTAATGTTTAATACACATTATAAATAATTTCAGAAAATAAAACTTAAGAATTAGTATATATTATCATTTACTGCACAAATGACTTACAAAAAAAAAAAAAAAAAAAATGCCTGCCTGCCACAGGCAGGAATTTTGAATTTTGAATTTTTTGGCCTGAGAAACTATTAATTAATTTTTTTTGGCCTTACCAGTGTTTTTATTTTTGTAGAGCAAGTTTGACATTATTCTCAACTTTACTTATGACAAGTCGGACAAGGAATGCACCTTCTTGTATGTATTCAATAACAAAAGTAATTCATTCAAGTGATTGTAGTTTTTGTCCATTGATACAACTTCTTCCTGTCTCTAACATCATTTTGATTTATCTGTAAAATTCCTGTAGGTCCTACCACAGTCCAGCATTATTCAGGAAAAGGAAAAACCAACAAAAGGTAAATTTGAATGTAAATGTAGGTTTAATTGAATTTGAATTCTTATCACTTATAATGACAGCAGTAATGTGATAGACTTTTAACATCTAGACCGTGTTGCAAATCTACATGTTTAATTTACTGGTGGTGGTGGTGGTAGGGGGGGGGAGGGGGTTATACTTATATTTAAAGATACTGTGTTCATGATGACTTACTAATAGATGATAATTGTTGTGATAAAAAAGTCTATATTATCAAAGAATTTTAATTATGTAAATTTACATTACCATAAAACTTTCCTCAATTTTGTAGAATTATGGAGATACCTACACAAGGACTAATGTAGCCAAAGTTTTATCTGACATCACAGATGGATATTTCAGAAGGTTGTGCAATGATTTCTAAGTTATACCCCCACTTCAGCATCATGTGAAAGTTTTTATACCCCCGCAAACAAAGTTTTGGGGGGTATATAGGAATCAGCTTGTCCGTCTCTCTAGCTGTCCGTCTGTCCATCTAGCTGTCTGTCTAGCTGAGCAAACGTGTGCGGACCATTTCTTTCTTATAAAGGAACATTAGAATCTACTGCTCCACAGAAAGATTGCTCATGACCTAAGGGTGTGACCTTGACCCAAGGTCATTTGGGGAAGTTCAAGGTCACTGGAAGAAAAATTTCATAATTCGTGTCTGGTCCATATCTTTCTTATGGATAAACTTGGTAAGTTCCTATTTCACACAAAGATTGCTCATGACCTAAGGATGTGTCATGACTTTGACCCAAAGTCATGTGGGGAAGTTCAAGGTCACTGGAAGAAATTTCATAATTCGTGTCTGGTCCATATCTTTCTTATGGATAAACTTGATAAGTTCCTATTTCACACAAAGATTGCTCATGAAAATTCAAGGTCACTGGAAGCAAAATTTCAAAATTCATGTCCGGTCCATAACTTTCTTATGGATAAACTTGGTAACTTCCTTTTTCACACAAAGATTGCTCATGACCTAATGATGTGTCATGACTTTGACCCAAGGTCATTTGGGGAAGTTCAAGGTCACTGGAAGAAAAACTTCATAATTTGTGCTTGGTCCATATTTCTTATGGATAAACTTTGTAGGTTCCCATTTTACACAAACATTAATTGTTTATTACCTGAGGTTTTGTCAAGACTTTGAACCAAGGTCATTTATGCAAGTTCAAGGTCACTGACGGAAAAAGTTCATAATTAGGGCCCCGCAAGGATTTGCGGGTGCCCTATAGTAATCACTCTGTCTGTCCGTCCATCTGTCTGTCTGTTGTCTGTCCGTCTGTCACTCTTCCGTCTACAAATTTTCTGTTTTTTTCTAATAACTTTTTTTATGGTTGCCCAATCAAGTTCAAATTTGGTATGGTAGTTAAGAAGGCAGAAATACATATTTTGATGCTAAGTTTGGTTTTCTATGTCTTCTGGTTTGGAGCTGGGGTGGTGGGGTAGATTCCTTAACTATGCATAAGAATGAATGGGAAACTTTTTTTATGGTTGCCCAATCAAGTTCAAATTTAGTATGGTAGTTCAGTAGGCAGAAAGACATATTTTGATGCTAAGTTTGGTTCTCTGTGTCTTCTGGTTTGGAGCTGGGGTGGTGGGGTAGATTCCTTAACTTTATATAAGAATGCATTGGCAAAGAGAGATAACTGCTGAAGATGTTCCCATTGTAAACTGAATGCTGCTACGAGTCCCTTGAGATTAATTAGCTTTCCTCCTAAAGAAAATCCAGAGCATTATCTTTATCTGTCACATTGAGATGAATTACCACCTCTGTCTGCAAATGAAGTTTGTTTTGAAGTTAAGTCAATTTGGAATGCTATGAACACTCTGAAATGTGGATTTAAATATAAATTTTCATAATTTATTTTTGTTTAATAGTTATGATTTCATCGAATTCTAAAAACAAAAAATAGATTAA